TTTTTTTTTTTTTATATTTTAATTTATAAAAAAAATTATTTTTTTTTTTTTTTTTTTTTTTTTTATCTAAGTTGTGTCTTAGTATTAAATATATAAATGATAAAAATATACTTTTATCAAATATTAAACATATAAATATTATTATGACTTAATAAAATGGATTATAATATATGTGAAAGTAGTAGTTCTTCTAATGATATGCTATATAGTGTTTTGTTTGCAGGAGGAGAAAAAAGTCAAAAGACTTTAAATGAAATGAAGGAAGTTAAAGAAAAAAATAGCATAATTTTGAATAATGAAATAAAAAAATATGAAGTAGTTAGTGGGTTAATTAATGAAAAAATTGAATCTCTTCCTGAAATTACAGGTAATTTAAATGATTCTATAAAGAATATTTTAAACAAAGATGAAAATGTTTCATTATTAAAAAGTAAAATACCAGAAGATAATGATAATATAAATGATATTAATAATTATAATAGTAAATACAAAGATATTCAACTTAATAATAATTATAAAAATGATATAAATTATGTTAACACTAATGATAATAATACCATCAACTTTAATAATTATGAAGATGGTAATCATAATATTAATGATGATATCAACACTAATAATAAAAGTAACATTTGTAGTGTTATTAATATTAATGAAAACTTCAATAGTAATGAAAATAATGATATACTATCTCTAAATAAATATACGAATGAATATATAAATGATTCACGAACGAATTCAAACAAAAAAAAAGATATATTAAATAGCAATGTAAAAAATGAAATTAACTCATATAAAAATATTTCTTTAAATAGTTTTCATAATAAAAATAGTTCAAAAATTAATATATCTTTATTAAAAGCTAAAATTGAAAAACAAAGATTAGCTCTATCAGACATGAATCAATATATTGTAACTGATAAATTAGATAATGAGAATAGTAAATTAAGAGATTTATCTTATAGTGAAGGAACCATATTAAAAAATTGTGATAACTATTTATATAATAAATTAGATGAAGGAAATGAAAAGGATTTTAATAAAAAATCATTTTTAGAAAAAAAATCAGTAAATATATTTGAAAATGGAAAATATAAGCATTTTTTTACTGAAAAGAGCAAAACTCATGATAACAAGAAAAAGGATTCTGAAGATATATTAAGTAGGGATATAAAACAGGATATAAGTTCTGATAAAAAAAAATTATCAGATGACGTATTTTTAGAAGTTTCTAATAATAGTTATAAAAGCATAATTACAAATAAAGAAAGTAGTCAATATGTATCTTTTTCTAATAACAATAATAATATAAATATGAAAATTCTACCATTAAATATATCTCAAGAAAAAAAACAAGGAAATAATATAAAAGATCTAGATGGATATTCTACTGTAGTTGATTTATTAAATGATTTAGAATCATCAACTAAATCAATAAAACAAAATTTAATTAATAGTGAAGATTCTGAAGAATCAAAAAAAATAACAACTATCATTGAACATGATTTGATTAATAATAAAAACAAGATAAATAATAAAATAAATAAATTAGACATTAAATGTTTCAATGATAAGAATGAAATTAAAAAAAACTTTTATAAAATTCCAGAACGATTCATTAACGAAGATGATAATAATAAAGAATTAAAAGAAAATGTATATTATTCTGAAAATTATAGAACTGATTCATTATTTCATGATTCAGAAGGTGAAGAATCTAGAGGATTAAATAATGAACATTATTTCAAAAACGATGAATTATTAGAAAAAAATATTTGTGATATGTTGAACAGTAATTATTTGGAAGATATAAATTTTAAAGAAACAAAAAGATATTCAAATATTTTAAAAAATTTTAAAGATATAACGGATATTTCTTTGAGATTCTCAAAAATAGATGTAGGAAAATATTTTCAAAATAAATTAGAGAATTACGAAAAGTTTTATATATGTTATTGTATACCTGTAATAAGTAAAATAGAACTTAGTAATAAAAATATTTCTAAACGAAGAGCACGAAGTTTAAATTCAAGTTTTCTAAATAAAAATAAACCAATAATTAATTTTTCTACAAGAAATAAAAAAGTTATTAGTAAAGTAGAATTTAATAATAAAAGCATAAATAGAAATGGAAAAATGTTAACAAGAAAAGTTTTTGAAAATAAGTATAAAAATATTAGTAGATATAGAAATTTAACAGAGAGAAAAAATAAAAACATTGTAGATATGAAAAACATTATATATGATAGTTTTTATGTTGAAAGTAAACATATCAATCAAAATTGTATTGAATTTTTAGAAGATGTTTTTCATAAGGTACATAATAGTATATTAAATAGAAATGTGAATATTCCTTTTTTACTTTGTGCAATTTTTAATAAGAAAAAAAAAAAAAAAATTAATGATTCCACTTCATGCATATTACAACAAAAAAATGTAAATATTTTAAAATTATTAAATTATCCATTTATTATACCAAATAATTCAGAAATTCTAGGTTTTGCTGAAATTCCTTTTATTTCAATCACAAATTTAGAGATACCAGTAAAAGAATTAGTTATACCCAATAATTGCTTCACTGATTTTATTAAAGGGCCATATATATTATTTTATATGCATTTAGATATATTTGAAAAAAGATTTAAAAAGGAAGGTGAGATAGAAATTATGAATAAAGAGGAAGAATCTAGTACGAACTTACTATATAACAAAAATGATGATATAAATATAAGGAATCATGTGAAATCTAATTATGTTTGTAATATAAATAATGTAAATGAAGAGGATATTAATGATGTAAATTGTATAGAAGAAAATAATGAACATTTTGATTTAAATGAAGAATGTAAATTGGAAATAAATAATGATGGTAACATAAATTATTTAGATAAAAAGATTCAGGATTTAAGAAACTCTGAGAATTTCGATGTGAAAAAAAAATCTAATATAGATTCAGTTGATACAATTGAAGCCAAAAAATTATCAAATACATTAAAAAATGTAGAGATTATAAATGATGATATAAAGGGAAACAAAATAGAAAATGTAGGATATGATGATATACATGAATCTATTGAAGAAAAAGATGAAGCAGAAAAATCAATAAAAAATAAAATAAGAGAAATAACAGAAAATAACTCTGAAAATGATCATGAAGAATTAGAAAAAAGTTATGATAAAACGGAAAAATGTAAAAAAGATGTTAAAAATAAAAATTATAGTAATAATATAAAAGAAATAACACAGGAAAATTCTGAGGAAAATAATAAAAATGAAGTATTATATATATATATAGATAAAATTGTAAATTTATCTAAAAAAAATTTTCCAAATTTATTAATATGTGTTAGATTTTATAAAGATGAAAAATATACATATAGCAATTTTAATTTAAAAGATGAAAAAATTTTTGATATATTATTAAATTCTAATAAAAGATTATCTGATATGCAGGAAATTTTTATAGAGGTATGGAAAAAAGAAATGAATAATGAGGAAGAATGCGTTGGAATTTTAAAAATAAATGTTAAAGAAATTAATGAAAATAAAAATATTATATATTTAGAAAAATATTTTGAATTGACATTTCGTTTCTATGAGGATATTAATTTTATGTTTAGAATTATTTTAATTAGAGGATTGAAAAATATGTATGAAAATATTAAGGAATTTTGTAAGGAATACATTGAAAATTATGAAACAGATGCAAGAAAATTTTTAATAAACGAAGATACCAAAACAAATTCTCAGTTTAATTCAGATATTTATGAAGATAAGTTAAATAAATCTAGTTCCTTTTTATCAATTAATGAACAATATTTTATATATGATTCAGCTAATATATATAATAATGAATATTATATATATGAAATACAAAGGGAAATATTAAAAAAAGATATACATAGCAGCACAATAGTTAATAATATATTAAGTAGAGAAAAGTACAAAATAAATATAAAAGATAACATTAGTATACAAAATGAAATAAATGGGAAATTTAAAAATGTAATTAAAAAAAATAGCGGAAGTAATAAATTTTCCAAAAAATGTGATATTATGATTGATAGTGATGATATAAATGATCAATATATAGAATTATCGAAAGGAACAAATGAAGAAAAAATAAAGAATGAAAATAAAATAATTTATGTAGAAATAGAATCTATTAGAGAAGAATTATTACTATGTGGTATGAATGAACATACCGTGAAATTATTAGTTTCGGATTTAAAAAATAATTGTATAAAAAATAAGTATGTTTTAAAGAGTTACTTTGAAGAATATATAGATAAAATATACAATAAATGGGAAAAGTTATCCAATAAGTTATTTATAAAGAATAAAAAGAAAATGCTTTTAAATGATATATGTGAATACTTAGATAATTTATATTTAGATGATGATAATTATTTAAATAAAGAAGACTTTTTTTTATTTTTTCAAGATGTAGGAATAGTTTTTGTTGATTCGACAGTATTTGATGAATTATGTTTATTATTTTATGATCAAAAAAAAGAAAAAATTCATTTTTCATTATTCGCTTCACTGATAATTAAAAAGGGAGTAGAAGAATTAAAAAACATGGTATATGGATATGATGTTCTATTAAAATTATTTGAATTCTTATATATTAATAATATAACTATAGAATATTTAGAGAATGAATTATTTAAGATTATTTTACAGAAAAAAAATTATTACTCTGAAAAAATTAGACAAAATATATCTACTGATATATTAATTAGTTCAAACATTGATTGTAAAAAACCAAATGAAAATTTAAAATTTTTCTTAAAGGAAGAAGGGAATATATGTTCATGTACATCATTAATTTTTTTGCATTCTATTCAATTTATCTTAAAAAAGTTTAAAAATAACGATTTTACTACTTATGATTTATTTTTTTTAGTTAAATATATTATACAAAATCAATACAATTATGTAGATTCAGAAACGTATGTATTTATTAATGTGATAAAAGGAATAGAAACTGTGAACATTACGTTTTTTTTATGTTTATATTATATTTATATGAATCAAAATAACAATAATAATAATAAATGTATAAGTAATTATAATAATGACATAGATGTAGAAAATTATATGAATGAAAAGAAAAATTCATTCAGTGAGAAAATTCCTAGTAATGATGAAAAAAATGAAAATAAGTTTATAAAGAAAAGTTCCTCTCGTAAATATGATCAAATCTTATACAATGATAATAATTTATATAATCCCAGCGTAAACAAAAAAGAAAAAAATCAAATAAATCAAATTTCACAAAATTCAGAAAATGATAATGAAATTATCTTATCCACTTCAAAAAGTTCTTGTAGTAATATTTCAAATTCATATGAAGACTCTTTAGATTTTACTAATAAGAATTTTACATATAATATAGTAAATAATAATAAAGAAAATTGTGAGTATAAGAAAAAACATGAAAAAAATGAAACGGATAGTTATAATTTAAATAAATCAAGTAAAAAGCATTCAGAATTTTTAAATAAAAAGAAAAAATTAACGTTATCTATGCTAAAAAGCGGTGAATATGATAAAAGATTTTGTAAAAGTGATTCAAATGATGATAGTTATTTTGAGAAACGAGTACATCCTACTAATGAAAAAAACGCATTAATAAAATCAAGTATTTATAAAAACACAAAAAAAAATGAAGATATTTATAGTGATAATACGGTTAATAATAATTCCGATAAAATACAAGAAAAATATAGCTCCAATGATAAAAGTGATAATGATTATAGGATTGGAAGTTCTATAAATAACGATATTAATAGTTGTATGAATAATATAAAATATGAAAATAACATAAATTATAGTAATAAAACTAGTATATCGGGGACATTTAAAAAAAATGAAAATAAAAACAACATAAATTATGAAACTAACATGATATCTGCATATAATTCAAATAAAAAAAAAAGAATATTGATATATAGAAGGGAAATAAAAAATGCAGTGAAAAATTCATTAATAATTTTATATAATAGAATTGTAAGTGGTTTAATTAATATTGAGTATATATCAGAATGTTTGTTTAATTATTACAATGTTAAGAATATATTAAGAAGCAAAAATAAAAAGAAAACAAAGAAAAAAAAAATAGAACTTTTAAGATTATTTGATCATATAGGTTTATATACATCTTATGATATTGCAAAAAGTATTTTAAAATGGTATAAAAATGAAATATATATGAACAACAAAGAAAATAAAATTTCATATCCATCTATAAATTGTTTCAGCTTTTTTAATATTTGTGAAAAAAGAAAGATTTTAAATAACACAGTTAATTATCACATAAATAATATAAACAAAATAATTAACAAATACTTATTAAATGAAGAGACCAGTGGAAATATGTTTTCAGGAAGTACATTAAAGCATTTTTTTATTTTGTTAAAGGAAAGAAATATAAATATTAATACTTTTTCAAAAAATAGTATATTTACATATAATGATTTCTATAAAGAAATAGAGAAACTAAGTATAAATTTTTCAAAAAATTATATACGTCTTTTATTTTGTAATCTTCTAACTTATGATTTAACCTCATTTAATAGTTTAAATAACAAATTAATTTTTTTCGATTCTTTAGAAACATATTGGTCAAATTGGAATAAATTAAACTTTGAATTTTATAATTCCAAAATACAAATAAAGGATAATGTAGAAAACATATTAAATAATGTAAAAGATAAAAGAAGAAAACTAGCAATTTATAATAAGGAATGGGAAGGTAATATTATAAATAGAGTTAACTATTTTTCATATAGTGATTTATCAGTATTAAATAATAAGAATGACAATAAAAATAAGAGAAGATCACATAGCGTAAAAAATGTAAGTTGTTATAATTATTTTTTATTACCATTATATAGTTTTTTTTTTTATTTTTCTGAAGAAGAATTACTAGCAGGAGGAAAATTAATAAAGTACTTTTTTTTGAATATATTCGGATATGAAATTAGCTCTTTGAATATAAATGATTATATAAATAAATATTACTCTTTCTATGATTTTTTGCAAATATCTAAAGATATGATATTACATAATTATGAACATAATGATGATTTATTCAGGGAAGATTTTTTAAAGTTGATTATATTAATAAATAATGTTTACTTGAAAAAAAAATATAATATTAAATTTAAACTTCAAAATTTTATACAAAGAAAAGCACACTTATTCTCAAAAAACTTTAAAAATAACTTCAATATAATTACTAGAAATATTATAAGTTTAAAAAAAAACATAGTGAATATTTCAAGACCGTTGTATGATATATGCCAATCCAGTGATACAAAGCAGAACATTATTTTAAATGAAGAAGAAAATATAATAAATGAGGATGAGTTAATTTTAAATTTTTTTAGAAAAAATAGATGTATTATAAAATATATTCGTGAATATTTTTATATATATGTTTTTTTAGAAAAAATAATGAATAATAAAAATTTTGATATATGTTTTTATGAAAAGGAAAGCATCATGTATCAAAAAAAATTAAAAGAATATCATATACAAAAAATGAAAAACATACAAGATAAATTTAATAATTTAGAAAATAAATATATGAATTCAAGTTTTCATAGTAATTGGAAAAATAAGTTAAATTATTTCCCTTTTTTATATCAAGAAGTGAATATATGTTATGATGAAAAAAAATTTAGTAGCATAGAATATGTTAATTTTGTTTATCCATATTTATTACTTTTATGTGATTTTCTTAAAAGAATTATTCATATTTATAAATATGAATATGATCGCTGTTTAAATAAATTATTTAATTTAGATTATCAAAAAACTAATAGTAGACTAATTTTTTTACATAATGTAGAAAATATTACAGCAAGATCAGGTTGTTTTGATTCTAAAGAATGGAATAAAATATTTTGTTTTTTTGAAATATTTAATATAAATGTGAGTAATTTCTTTTTAAATTTATGTAATATATTAAAAAGTAATAATTATATATTATCTTATAAAAATGAAAGTATTATTTTTAATGATAAAAGTAGCATATGGAATCTTATAAGCAATGATACTTATACAAAAAGAAAGAAGGTTTTAAGCACAGAAGAATGTAAAGAAATTATTATAAAAAATTTTAAGTATAATATAGCTTTTGAGAAAGTATTATTATATGATTTAGATGAAATCAACCAGAATTATATGCATAGTCATATTATTAATGATAATATATTTATAAGTTATATATCCTGCCTGTATATAAGAATATTATTCAATGAATGTATATCAACAGGTTTAAATATAAACAAATTGTTTCAAAATATAAAAACAAAAAGTTCCTTTATAAAAGTATTATCTAGAAACTTTAGCCATATATTTTCTCATTTAGATATAGATTTATTTTCTAAAAAATATTCTTTTCTAGTAGATATGTCATCTCTTCATTTAAGTTCTTATCAGAACTTTATATCTTCTAGTGATTTTATAAAAGATTTATATAAGCAAGGTGAATTTTATAATTCTTATTTGAGAAATAAATTGTTTTCTTTTTTTTTGAATAACCAAAATATTTTTATGAAAAATTATGAACAAATGGAAAATCAGCATTTAATACCATGTGATCACCTAAAGAGTATATTATCCGAAAATGGAGTTTTTTTATCATGGGCAGAATTATATGATTTTTTTCAGCCACTTAATAAATTTTGCGTTATTTATGATTATAAAAAATATCAATTTAATAAAACAGGAAAACCAACACCATATATATTAAAAGCATATATAAATTTTTCAAATTTAATTATAATGGCAAAAAAAAAATATAAAGATGATATGCAAAGAGAAATTGATAATGAAACACAAAAAGTATATAAAAATGAGATTAAAAAAGAATATAAAAATAAAATTCCTAACAAATATATTAATGATAATAATATGCAAAACGAATATAATATTAGAATGCAGAAAAAGATTTTAGATATTAAAAAAGAAGTAAGTAAAGACACATGGAATAAGGACTCAAATAATGAAAATAAGAATGATAAGAATGAGAATAGTAATAATAATAGTAAAATAATTAAAAAAAAAAGACAAAACTTAAATGAAAAATTAAATGAAAAATTAAATGAAATAAAATATACTAAAACAAACAAAGATATGAACCAAAATGGAAATGAAAATCATAAGAAATACAAGAACAATTTACTTATATTACATGATGATAAAAAAAAAAAAGAGATTACATTAAGAAATAATGAAATTAGTAATAATATACAAAATAATATAAAACATAAAAGTGTATATGGAGAAAATTCTGAAGAAGCTAATAAAAAGAAAGAAAAGGAAAATTATATGTTTCATCATTTTAGTAAATTTTTAAATGTGAAATCTAATTTATTTAAAACATCTAATAATTTATATTATAACTTTAGCTTTACCAATTTAACATTAGAGAGATTACTATTGTTTTTGTTTTTAAAAATGAGCAACCTAATGATAAAAAAAAAATTAAAATATGAACAGATATATTTTGGTATAAAAAATATAAATGAACAACATATTAAAAAAAAAGAAATTGAAAATGCATGTTTTTTCTTATTAAATGTTGAAAAAAAAGAATTAAATAATATTATACCTGATGATTTTATTTTATATGAGAAGGATTTAAAAAATGGAATTTATCTAAATATTTTTATTTTAAAGAAAGAATATGAAAATATGTTTGCTAAATTAAATTGTCCTGTTATTTCTATAGTTGATTTCATTGATTTCTTTGAAAAAAAGAAGGAACAAATAAAATTTTCTAATTATATGTTTACTTATAATTTTGCATATGAATGGATTAACTACATGAATATAAAAGATGAACACATAAATAAAGAAGATTGTAAACATTTGTTAAATTTATTATATTTAGAAAATTTTAATGAAGATGATAGTAATGAGAAAAATGAAATCATAAAAGAGAAATTCAAAGTAAAGAATGAATTTAACGAGGAACTTTCAAGGAAAAATGAAAAAAATAAAGTACATAAAGAATTAAGAAATAACAATGTAATAAATAATAGTGAAGTTACTCGATATAGGAATATAAAAAATTCTGTTGAAAAGTATGAAAATATTACTAAAGAGAATAATGTAGACCATAAATTATCATCAACTAATGAAAAGGAAAAGCAGAAAGAAGATAAATTATATAATATAGTTTTCAAAGAAGAAATGATAAAAATATTTGAAAAAAATATAAAAGGAAAGTGGAAAAAAATATTATTACCTATATTTGATTTAAAAAATTTTTATTTGCATGATTTTAAAATATTATTAGAAGAATTTACTGGTATCAAAAAGTTACTATGGAAAATAAAAGAAAATAATAAAAATAGAAATGATGAAAAAGTAGAAGGGAAGTTTTCCTTAAGTTATTATAGCTGTTTTGGAACTAAAGAAATTTTTATTGATGATATATTAAATAATGAAAAACAAATGTTAAATAGTGATGATAATAAATTTAATGATACAATATATATCAATTATGCTTTTGAACATAAATTTTCTACAATTAAAGAAAAAGATATAATTCTTTTGTTTGAAAATAATAAACAAATATTAAACTTAAAGTTATATTATAATCAGAAAAAAATAGCTGAAGCTAGCTTACATATCCTAGAATTTTTTTCAGTCATAAAAAATAAAGAAAAAAAAGATCATAAAATTCTATGTTTTATATCGTCAGATGATGAATATAAAGAAATATTATTTTTAGATATTGATATATTTTATAAGAGAGAACAAATATTCTCAAATTTGCCTGTTTTTGAAACTACATATAAAAAAGTTAGCAGAAATTTTAATATAGAAAATTATAATTCTAATAACATGGATTTTGTAAATTCAAAAAATTTCATAAAAGAAAAATTGAATGATAATACAAAGAAAAAATTGTTGATAAATATTGAAAAACAGAATATTGAAAATTTCTTGTATAACGATAATAATAATAATAATGACAGTAATGTGAGTAAAAATAATAATAATTTATTAATAGATGAGAATGAAAGGCTAGAAGAAAATATTTCAGTTTTAAAAGGTTCATTAGAAAAAGAGGAAGTAAGATCAAAGATAAATGAAAATTGTGATTACACTTTAGTAGGGGAAAGTGAATTTTTAGTGAAAAATAAGAAAATTAATAATAAATATAACAATGAAGATATTAATTCATTAGTTTCAATGCATGATTACGATTATAACAATAAAGTAATAGATATAATGGAGGAACCAATAATTCCCAATAGTTGTAAAAAGGAGAGGATGCATTATCAAAGTTATGAAAAAAAAAGTGATAAAAACGAATTAGAGATTAAAAGTATCAATTCCAATGAAAAAAAAGAGAAAAGCAATAAAGAGAGTAATTTTGTAAGCTATGTAAATTTAACCGTTGATCGTATAATTTTACCATTTCATTTATTAAAAAAGTTAAATAATAAATTTAGTAAAACTAATGAAAAAAACAAATCAGAAGAAATTTTTATAGCATTCTATATTGAAATATATCAAAGAGTTGGCGAGGAAAAAGAAGAAAAGTATGAATTATTAGCTTCCTCTGTTCCTAGAATAGTTAATTACACTGATAAATTTTTTTCTAATGATAATCTTGAAGATAATAATATTTCATTTATTTCAAATAACAATGAAAATATTAAGAATAGAAATAATTCTTATCTAAAAAATTCAATAAAAAAAAAAAATAAAGATAATAATTATGAAAATAAAAAAAATATCATTATTAATGACAAAGGGAAAACAAACATTGAATGTAACAATAACAATAAAGAAGTAAATACAACATCTGAAAAATCCAATGACAATATAAATAGTTTAGATATTAATAATTCTAAAAATAGAGATAATAGTAAATCATTTAGTAAACCATTAAAAATAAAGAAAAAGAAGAAAAAAAACAAATGTAAACTATTTGATAAATATTTAAATATATACAACTTAAAAATAAAACATAATGAAGTTATCGAAAGCAAAAATTTATTTGTAGAAGGTAAAATAATTATTAGAGCATTAATCTCATTGAATTATGATTCAGAAGATTTAATTATTGGTGAGCATTTTTTTAAAATAAAGAATATGTTATACGAAAATAAAAATATAACATTCTGTTCAGAAAATCTTTTCTATCCAATTAATAGCAAATATTTTTTGCATGAAGATCATAATTATAATAAAATGGGTATTAATGATATTGTAATAGAAAAGAATGAATCTGATGAATTATTAATGAAAGAAAATACAATATGTAAAAGTCACATAAAAGCAACAGATGAGGAGGATGAAGAAAAGGGAAAAAAGGTAAGTAATAATGATACTTTTAATTTCATTGAAGGAAATGATAATAATATGATAAAATATATGAATGAAAATGACACAATAAATAATATTAAAGAAAAAAAAGTTATAGGATACATATCTTACAAATATCAAATAAAAAAAAATAAAAACAAAAGTTCTGAAAAGAGAAAAAAATTATTAATTCCAAATTTTATAAAAATATATTTTATTAAATATGATAAAAATAATTTAAAAATAATAAATGAAAAAAATGATGTTTTACAAAACACAATTTATGAAAAAATATTTAGTGATGTATTAATAAAAGTAAATTACAGAAAATATGTAAATATAGAAATGTTTATTAAATCATTGAAAAATACAAATTACAGTAGTGATATCAGTTATTTTAAAAGATTTTTTCATTATTTTATCAATTATGATAATACCTTATATTTTCCATTAGAAACTATATTAATAATATTAGCATTAAGAAGATTATCTTTTCATTTTTTAAGTTCGTTTTCTTATTTTTTTGATGAAATTAAAAAATTTTTTTCAAATTCTCATGAAGTAGGAATAGTTGAATGGGCATATTTATTAAAATGCCTGTTAAAATCTCAAAATCAATTTATAAAGACAGAAAATAAAAAAAAAAAAAAATATATAAAAAATAAAAAACTTCTTACACACAATAATTTACAAGTTAATTATAATTCTTTTTCAACTTTTTCTTCTACAAGTAAAAATAATTCTCATTTTTTTTCTGATGAAGAAAAAAGGAAACAAAAAAAAAATAAAATTAAAAGGAAAATATTAAATGAAAAAGATTGGTGTTTATTGAATAATTGGAGAAAATGGCACATACGTAGTAATAACAAAAATTATTTTTTTTTATATTTATTTTTAAGTGATATAGTAACATTCTATGAAGAATACAAAAATTACTTAAAACAAGAAAATCACAAAATACCATTTTTTTATAATAATAAAAAATTTATAAAAATTCCATCATTAAACGCAAAAGGTACAAATAAAATAAATAAATTATTGAATAGAAGAAACAATGTTGCATCTTCAGATGATAATAAAATGAATAAATTCGATAATATAAAAAATAATTTTCAAAAATCAAATATAAATGTTGAAAATACTATTTTAAATGATAATAATCATAATAATGAAAATGCTAGCTATTACTTACATTCTAAAAATAAAAAAGAAGCAAGAAATAATTTTTTTTCAAGAAAATTTTCTCACTTAAAAAATAAAAAAAATTCGAATGACTATTCCTTACTGAATTTTTTTAAAAATAAGGATATACACAGTTATTATATGAAAAAAGAAAATGATAATTGCTTTAGTGAAAACACAAGTAACACATTATATTCAGACACATTTAATACTAAAATGTCCGATTTAATAAGAAGTAAATGTATTAATAATAAGACATCTGTTTATCAATACAATATATTGAAAAATGATAGTAGAGATATAAGATCAAATAAGGAATATAAAAATTTGTATGCATTAGATAGTATCACCAAAGGTGTTAAACAAAGTAGCATAAATAAAAAAACCAATTTCATAAAGAAGCATCATAATTTAAATGTAAGTAAATACAAAATATTTGTAAAAGTAAAGAAAATTTTATATCCCTTTTCATTAATCAATAATGAAAAACCAAACATATTTTTGTCATTTCAGATAGTTTTAAATAATTATGATTTTATAAATAAAAATGATATATTTCCGTTTTTAATAAATAATAAAAAGAATTATATCATAAATAGAGTTCAAGCAAAAAGTAATATATTTTTTAATGAATGTCATCCAGTATTAAATATTTCAACTATGTTAAAATTACCGCATTTTGAAGAATTAAATAAAATTTTTAATGTAAATATGAAAAATGAAGATTTTAAGTTTTACTTAGAAAATTTATCTATACAATTATGCATTTATCATGTAATTAATTACTTTGATCATCACAAAAGTAATAATTATGAAAAACACTGCTTATATTATTCATCTAGTACATTAACAGTACATAATAATTTTAGCAAGCTTAATTATATTAAAGAAAAGAAACAAAAGAAAATATTAATTGCTAATACTTTAATACCATTAAATGTACTATTAAAAAAAAATAAAACAAAAATAAGGGCACCTTTAATTTTTTCTCCATTTTTTACAACAAATAATAGTAAAAATTTTATTGAAATTATTCTCAAATACGATGATAATAATTCTGAGGTTAATAGTAAATCATTTTTACGAAATAATTATAAATGTCTATTAAAAAAGATTGAAGGAAAAAATAACATTTCTCCAAAAGTAATTCATCATAATTCTTTAGATATTGAAAATAATAAAAAGAAAAAAGCCAAAATTCTTAATGATTCACTTATAATTACAAAAAACAACTTATGTAATAATGAAAAAAAAGAGAAAAAAGAATTACTTGATTTTTTTAATATTCCTTTACTAACATTACCTAAAATACCACCTCCTATATCTTAATTTTTTTTTTTTTTTTTTTTTTTCTATTATTTTATATATTCATTATTTATAAAAACTATTGTTTTTTGTTTTATTTAAAACATTTGTTTTAACTTTTATTTTTCAGAATTCTATATATATATATATATAAAATTCTTAATTTTTAATGATATATATATATATATTTTTTTTTTTTTTTTTATTGATTCACATAGTTTTGTTTTTCCAAATTTCTGAATTCAAAAATTTTAAATCTCTTGAGATTTTGTTCATGTAATTGTCAATTATCTTTCTTCATTTTTCTTTTTTTTTTTTTTTTTAATTATTAAAAATTTTTAATATTTACTAAAATGATTTAAAGAAAAAACTATAATTTTGTAAACTAAATACTTCCATTAAAAATAATTCAACATATTTTAATTATTTAAAAATTATATAACATTATACGTTCCTCATTATTAAATTAATATATAAAAAACTTTCAGTGAGATATATTTTAGTTACAAATTTAAATTACAAAATTAAAAAAAAATTTCTTTAATTTTTAATGTTTATATATCTAAATATATATATATATATATCTAAATATATATATATATATAATGTTAAAAAATTTCATCAAATAAATTAAAAATATATTTATATTTTTATCATTCATTAAAAAATTTCTTTTAATTATATTTAATTATATATATTTATTTAATTATATCTTATTTTATAATTTATTTTATTTGTATAATAAAATTCATATTGTTATATTTCATTTTTCTTCACTATTTTTATTATATTTATGTGTTATTATTTTAAAAAAATTTAATTAGAGTTTACATTTTTTTTTTTTTTTTTTTATATTTTACTATATTTTTAGTAACAAAAAAAAGTAACTTTTTTTTAAAACAATTTTTGTTATAGATATTAAAATTAATTTGATATTATATGTATATTCTATTTTCTTTTATAATAAAATTTCATTATTCTTAAATTTTTTCTATAATTTGATTTTTTTGTTTTTTTCTTTTTTTTTTTTATTTTAACTATAAATATTTTAAACATTTGATCTTTTATTTTTCCATGTGTTCTTGTACTTTCCTTGATATTTTTTTGAATTTCTATCTTTAAAATAATGTTTTACAGTAGTTTTATAATCTGTAGTATCATTTGTTTTATAAAAACTGTTATCCTTATTATTATATTTGAAATAAGTTTTTCTATAATTATGTTCATAAGTATTATATTTATTTAAATTTTTTTTGAATTTATTTTGTGAATTTTTATGTTCATTATATTTATCATCAACGTACTTTTCATATGTATTATTGTTTTCATTTTTGTTAATTATTTTCTGATTGTTTATTTCGATGGAATTACGTCTATTTTTTGATGAAAACATGGAGATTCTATTATCATCTCTTAAAATACTAGGAGATTTATATTTATTTAAATCAATAGAATCATTCCTATTTTTTTTTAAGAAAGAATTGTGTTTTGCTACTGTGGATGATAAACCACTATATCTATCGTCATAACGATCTGTATATTTTCTTTTATAAGTACTATATTTATCATTATCTATATTTCTTACACCATTTGCAATTTTGTTAGAACTATCAAAAGATTCTTTTGAATTACTTTTTTTTTTTATTAACACTGGAAAGCCTTTTCTTTTATAATTATGTTCTTCACAATTTATTTTATTGTCATTATATCCTTTATCTAATTTAGTCACATATTTTTTTGAGGAATTTCCATCTAAATCATAACAAATTTCTTTAGTTCTCATTGATTTTTTATTGATATTTTTATTTTCATTTGTTATATTTTTATTATAATCCCTTTCGTTATTTCTCTTCATTAATGTGTTTTCTGAGAAATCTTCTTTCCTTCTCTTATTGTTATTTATTGAAAAATTAAATGAATCATTGTAATCATTTTTATACATTTCAACTTCGTCATATTTTCGTTTGGTTAATTCTTTTTTATCTGAAAAATTACTATTATTTCTTACAATTGATGGTGATACTAATTCCTCCTCTCTACTTGCTTTTTTGTCATAATTTTTTTTATAATTACAGAAATCTTTCCTGTCAGCATAGACATTTCTATCATTATAATAATTTTTCTTATCTTCGTAATATCTCTTTTTTTCATCATAATAATTTTTTTTTTCATCGTAATAATTTTTTTTTTCATCATAATAATTTTTTTTTTCATCATTATAATTTATTTTTCCTTCACAATATTTATCATTATTGTAATAATTTTTTTTATAATCATATATCTTATCATAATGTTTATTTTTATGATCAGAATTGTTTCTATAATCATATTTTTTATCAAAATGACTCTTTCTATCAAAATAGCTACCGCTACTTTCATAATAATTTTTTTTATTATTGTTATCTTTGTCTTCAAAATTTTTTTCATTATTATAATTTTTTTGTTCATTGTAATAATTTATTTCCTCTTCATATTTAATTTTTGAATTTTCATATTTATTATTTTTTTTTAAGTTATAATTTTTGTCTTCATAGTTATTTCTGACACTTCCTTGCTTATATTTATTTTCATCATAATTATCTTTATTACTATTATAATATGCATAATTATTTGATGATAGTTTATCTCTAAATTTCGTTTCGTTATGATGATCATAACTTTTTATACTATTCAAATCAACTGATTTTCTATAAAACTTATTATTGTTTGATTTATTAGTTGCTTTTTTGTTAAAATTATTAAACGTGTTAATAGATTTTTCGTAATTCATACTGTTTCTCGTTTCTTTATATTCCTTCATTTTTTTTTCTTTATCTTTTTTACTGTAATAGTTTCTGCTTGATAATTGTTTATTTTTAATATTATTTATAGACAGATTATATGCATTATATTTTTCTTTAATATGCGATTTTTTAGAATATTCGTAATTATTATTCTTGGTAATATGTTTTTTATTATCATAACTACTAGAATTTTTAAAATATGAATATTTTTTAACTTTTTTATAATTATTTTTCTTATCTATACTAATTGATTTAATAGAATATTTTTTATTTTTGTAAGCAATAGGATTATAAAAATTTCTCCTATTGAAAGATGTATTATTATTATTATAAGCATTTACTTTATGTTTATTTAAAAATTTGTATTTATGGTCAAAATAGGCTTTTCTTTCTTTTTTATTTCTTTTCTCTATATTTTTTTCTTTCATTTTTTGAACAGTTTCTTTCATATTGTCTGGTATATGTTCTTCATTGTGACAATGAACACAATCAAACGAAGCTCTTTTACATAAACCTTTCATATTTTCTTGACACGGTGAGCATATACCTTTATAATGTAATAATTTCGATGGATGATATGGTGAGTTAATATCTTCATGATCTCTATCATGACAGTTTATGCAATTATTTTTTTTTAAGCACCCATTTTTTCCTGAAAAATAAAAAGCACAAGGATGACAAACACCCCTTTCATGTGCATCTCTTTCTTTATATCCTGTTTGCTTTGCATAGACAAATTCTTTTTTTTTTTCATCTAATACATCTTTATTTCCTTCATTGATTTCAGTTTTTTCTAATGTTTCTCGCTTATTTTCTTTTTTTTCGTCTTTAATTTCTCCATTTTTAATTTTTTCTTCTTCTTCTTCTTCTTTATGTTCTTTATTATCATTCTCTATATTTTTATCATATATATTTTTTTGTTCTTTTTCATTGATATCATTGGTATTTTCTTTTTTATTATCCTTATCTTCTTTATAATCATCTGTTTCCTCTTTTTTATATTTTTCATTTATCTCTTTTTTAGTTTTACTACTTTCTTCAAATTCTTTTTTATGTGAATCATAATGACAATAAACACATGTATGCATATGTCTTGTACATTCACCTTTAAAATAACTAGAACAAGGAACACATAATTTTTTTATATGTAAAAAACGAGATGGATGAAATATACTATGAGGATTTCTATGATCTTCATGATGACAATTTAAGCAATTTTTTCCATTTAAACATCCTGAAAAACCAACAAAATAATAAACACAAGGATGACAAGCCCCTTTTTCATGTCTGCTTAAGTTTTTACTAAAATCATTTAAATTAATTCCTTGTTTTCTTTGCAACTTATATATTTCTTGCATTCTTTTTGCTCTTAATCTATCTAATTCTTCTTCGTCTTCTTTATCTATACTTTTATCATGGTATTTATCCGTTTTATCAAACTTCTCTTTACTTATATTTTCTTTTCTATCCGGACTTACATTTTCTTCCTTCTCATAATCTTTTTCATCCATCTCTTTGTAAATATCTTTTATTTCATTACTTTTATCATTTAAATTATTTAATTCATTTTTTATATTGTCAGATGTAAATTTTCCAGATATATTTTCTGTAGAATTTTCATAGAAACCATTTGTAGAACTCAATTTATTTGAATTTTCTTCTTTATCTTCCTTTTCATTGGATGACAAACTATTTGAATATGAGCGTGTGATTAAATCTTTTTTTTCATTTGCTGATTCTTCTTTTAGAAAATCTTCTTGCTCATCTTTCTTTATTTCTCTCTCATTTTTTGAATTATCATCATCATTTAATTTTTTTTCTTTATTTTCAATATCAATTTTTCCTTTGTTTTTTAATTTTTCTTTATCATTATTTACATTTCTTGTTTCTAACCACATTTCATCTTCAGAAATGTAATCATTATTATGTTCTGATATTATTTCATTTGTTTCTTTTGTTTTTTCGTTAGTGGATGAATTAGTTTCTTTTAATTCTCTGTTAATACTTCTATCTTCTATATTGCAATTTTTTGAATTCCTCTGAGAATCTCTTGTACTTTCTTTGTTACTATTTAATTCACTTTTATATACTTTTTTGTCATCTTTTTCTTTTTCACAACTTATAATTCTATTTCTTGAATAGTTACTTAGACTCCTTTTATTTTCATTAATTTCAAATTCGCATATTTTTGAGAAGTTGCTCATACTTCTTTCACTATTACTTTTTTTTATTTTATCACTTTTTGAAAAATTACTTAAGCTTCTTTTTTCCTTCTTATTTATTTCTTTTAAAACTTCTTTTCTATGAGTTTCTTCATGACAATAAGCACATTCATGTGGTTTTCTTGGAATCTTTGATTTTCTGTGTTCACACATTCCTTTAAAAAAATCATTACATGGTTTACATATTTTCATTTTATGTAAAACCTTATAATGACACTGATCACCTTTATGATCTCTGTGACTTTCATGATGGCAATTTCTGCAATATATCGAGTAGTTACAACCATTAGAAAAATAAAAGGAACATGGAATACATTTTTGTTTATTATGTTCTTCAATTGTAAAAAAACCAGTTAATTCTCCAAGCATCATTTTTTTTTTTCTATATTTATCATCTAATAAATTATGCATAACGTTTTTTGGTCTAGGTGCTTCATGTCTCACCACATCATTAATAATTTTAATTTTATTATTTGTTTTTATTTCTGTATCTCTCACACATTCCTCATTATCATAATCATCTAACAATATATCACTTTTATTATTTAAATGAATATCTACAATATTATAATTTGTGTAAGTATTCAAGGTTTTTTCAAAATATTTTTCTTCACCTGCATTACAAGGATTTTTTTCGAAGTTGGTTGAACCACTTCCACTATAATAACCTTCATTATTACTAAATTTATTTTGTTCTTTATTTTTTTCATAAAGAAAATTATTTTTTTCATCTCTTAAAGAAATATTATTTGGTACTGATTCCATAGATATATTTTCAAAATTTTTCTCTTTTTCCTTATCTTTATCAAGAGTTACATCTTTTTCATTTATCACACTTGTTTCGTTCATTTTTTTTTCTTCTATTTCTTCTTTGTTACAAATTTTAACTCTATTAATTAAATTTTTATATCTATATTTTGAATCCTTGCCTTTTTCTTTATTTACAGAAGTATGACTACTTTTTTTTACAGATTTATTTCCGTAACATTCACCCGATAATTTATCTAATTTTTTTTTTTTTTTTTTTTTTGCATTGTGTAATTTATATGTAGTACTATTATCATAATAACTTTTGCTATGTGTATTTGAACAATGTTTACTACTGAAATTTTTTTCACTATTTAAATTTACTGAAGAATATTTATCATTCTTCTCTTTTTTTGATTTAGTATTATTATCTTCATAGTATTTATTATCATTTTTATATTTTTCATTTTTTTCTTCTTTATTGTTAATTTTAAAATTCTTTTCATCTTCATGCTTGTTAAAAAAATTTTCTTTTTTTTCTTTTTTATTATTGAAATTTTTTTCTTTTTCATTATAATATTCTTTTATTTCATAGTTATCATCCAATTTATTTTTATTTTTATCAGCACTACTCATGAAATTATCATTATTATTTTTGTATATATTATTGCTTTCTAAACTAAGTGAATTTAAACTTTCATTTCGTGAATAAGAATATTTTTTATTATATTCATTTAGGTTTTTTTTCTGCCATGTTTTTTCTCTTATACTATTATAGCCTTTATGAGACGTTCTTTTTCTTTTTTCATCAACTTTCTTACTATTGCTGTTTTCATTTTCATTTTTATCTTCGTCTTTATTTTCATTTTCTATACTTCTTCCTTGGTCTTTTGTATCACTAAATTCTTTTTTTAAAGAATCTAAACATTTATCTAAAACATTTTTTACCTTAATATCATAACATATATGATCAGAATCATGACAATAAATGCTGTTATTATCACAAACACAATTGTTATCATTTATCAATGGACAAACAGAACATAAATTATTTTCATGTAGATAATTTAAAATATATAAGTTCGAATTCTTTTTTTTATGTATTTCATTATGACAATTATTGCAGTCCGTTAAACATACATGATCATATAGAAAATAATTTATACATGGTTTTTTATTGTTTTCATAACATTCAATGCATGTATCAAAAGATTTATTATTATCATTATTATCTATATTGTTATTTTCAAAAGTAAACATTAAATCTTTATCGAAAGCATCTAAATTCTTCTCATTTTTTTTATCCTCATCTAAATTTAATAAAAGATCTTTTGTTATAATATCAGAATATTCTTTCTTTTTATATAAATGGTTTAAAATATCGTGATATTTCTTCTTTAAATTTTTTGGTAAATGATCAATAGAATGGCAAAATTGACATTCATTTAACAAATTACAAAATCTTCCTTTTATAAAATGATTGCAAACTTTACATTTATTTTTAAAATGTAGCATTTTAAATGGATGTAAACAAGAATTTTTATTTAAATGGCTATAATGATGACACCATTTACATCTTATTTTTAGATTACATGAATTTCTATTGCTTCCAAACTTATAACAGGGTACACATAATCCATGAATATGTAAATATTTTTGCAACATATATAAAACAATTTCATCATTAATACATAGATAATAAATTTCAATTAAAGAATGTGTTATGCTTTGTCCTTTTGCAGCATATAATTCATTAAAATACGTTAAGACTTTTTTTCTATTTTCCCCTAATTGAGATATTTCTTTGAGTTCGCACAACTTCGATATATTATATACTTCATCTTTTTCATTAGAATGATTTTCTTTATTAACGTTATTTATATCACTTTTATTTTTATAATAACTCTCTTTAATTGAATTATCTATTTCATTTTTATTTTTTGAATTATTTTTATCATTTGCATTATATACTTCATCATTTTTTAACTGAATCTGAATACATTCATTGTTTGATTCTGTTAAATCATTTCGTAAATTTTCATTTTCATCATTTGATATAACTTTCTCTACATCATTGTTATTTTTATTATTCTTGTTTTTTTCATTATTTGCAATATTTTTACTATTCAAGTTTTCATAAGTTTTCTGTATATTTATATCTTCAGAACTTTTCTCATTTTCTTTAGTCTCTTTTGAATTACTAATATCCATCGTAATATATTTTATTTAGTAAAATTCAAAAATATATATACCTATATATTTTCAATTGAATAACAAATACCTTAAATTATTCAAAAAATATCAATATGATTCTCATATTAAAACAAATCAAAATTCTTCATAATAAGTAAATACATTAGAATACACATATAAATGAAATAATAGAATTTTTATTTATAAAAAAATGCATTACTACACATATATATAAATGTATAGGTTTTTTTTTTTAAAAGTAAATTCCTTATCAACATACATACATATATTCAAATATATATATATATATATATATAGATTTTCTTTTTTTTTTTAAAATTTATATTTTTTTTCTTAATTTTTTTTTTTTTTTTGTATTTATTACAATATAAAATTATTCTTTATTTTTTTTTTTTTTATGTTTTTATTTTTAGAAGCATAACATTTCATTTTAATGTTTTGTTTTAGTATTAATAAAAAATTAATAACTTAATAAAAAATAAAAGAATAAAATAGAAAAATCCGTATTTCATAATAAAATATAACTTTTTAAAATTTCATTTTTAAAAACATCATATTAATAGTTTTTTTATCTTATTATAAAAAAAAAAAAAATAAAATAAAATGTTTTAAAATTAATATATCCATGTAAAAAGAAAATTGAAAACAAGCTTCATTTATAAAAAAAAAAAAAAATGATTTATTCCAATATTTTTAATGCTTTTAAAAAGTGTTTGTATATATTTTTTTTTTTAAAGAACATAATTTAGATCAATAAATTTAAATATTAAAAAAAAAAAAATTAATCTCTAGTTTTTTAATTCTTTATATATTAAAATATCAAAAATACATAAATATAAAAGCATGTTACAATTTTTTTTTTTTTTTTTTTTTTTGACATAGTTGTTTTAAAAAAAATAAAAAAAAAAAAAAAAAAAAAAAAAAAAAAAAAAAAAATTAAAAAAATAAAAAAAAATAAAAAGTTAAAATTTTGTGAATCATCTGTTTTATACTTGTGAATACATATTTTTCTATGAATCAAAGAACTTATAATTTAAAAATTAATAAATTTCCAATATAATTTCATTTTATCTAATTTTTTTTTTTTTTTTAATATATGAAAATAATACAAAGTAAAAAAGAAAATAAAAATAAAGTAGATATATATATCAGTTAAACTTTGCTTATAACAGGTTGCTTAGAAAAAAATATATATATATTTTAGTATTACATTTATAATGTTTTTGTAACTTTTAATCTAAAGGGACTACTATTTTTTATTTTGAAAGTAAAGCTTTACAAACAATTTTTAAAATAATGTTTTGTTTTTATATATTATTTTATAAAAATGGGAAAAATAAACGGGTAAAAAAGTTAGATTTAAGGATATTTATGTAAAAAAAAAAAAAAAAAAAAAAAATATGATATTTTTATAAGTATTTAAAGAATTTAGAAAATTTTAAATATTAATGAAAAAATATGCTTGGTAACAAAAAATTTATATAAAAATAAAATTATAAAAACATATTTTATTTATCAAATAAAATATTTTAAGTTTTCTGTTTTTTTTTTCTTTTTTCTTCATTCAAAATGTTTTATTCCTTCATCATATTTTTTACTTCATAAACGATTTTATGTTCATCTGGTAAATAAAAAGGTTCATATACATGTGGGAAAGGTGTATCATAACCACATACTCTTTTAATTGGAGTATGCAAGTTATAAAAACATCTTTCTTGAATTTTTGCAGCAATTTCTGCTCCAAATCCATTAGTTACTTGTGCTTCATGACTTATTAAAAGTCTTCCAGTTTTTTCAACTGATTTTTGAACGGTATCAATATCCCATGGTATGATAGTTTGTAGGTCAATTATCTCACAATCAATATTATGCTTTTTGGCTAAAATATCAGCAGCTATTTTCATTTTATGAACTAAAGAACCCCATGTAACAATAGTTACATCTTTACCTTCTTTTACTACATCAGCTTTACCTAATTCTAATTCGTATTCATCTATAGGAACTTCACAAACAGAAGACCTATATAAATTTTTTGGTTCAAAAAACAAGCAAGGATTAGGATCTTTAATAGCTGAAAGTAATAATCCTTTAGCTTTATAAGCATCACTTGGAACTATTATTTTAATTCCAGCTGCATGAGCAAAAAATGCTTCAGGACTTTGTGAATGATATAAACCACCATGACCTACAGCACCCCAAGTAGATCTAATAGTTAACTTACCAACATCAAAACTACTACCTGATCTATATCTATATTTGGCTACATCGTTTACTATTTGATCAAATGCAGGAAAAATATAATCACCAAATTGAATTTCAGCAATTGTAGTAAATCCGTTTTCTGCTAAACCGATTGCAAATCCTATAATTCCTTGTTCACATAAAGGAGTATTAAAAACTCTTTTATCTCCATATTTATTTAATAAATCAAGAGAACATCTAAATACTCCACCAAATGCCACATCTTCACCTAATAATATTGAATTAGGATCTTTTTCAAATACATTATGCATTGCTGAATTTATTGCTGTAAACATATTCATTTTTTTTTTTTCCATGTTTTGTGTAGAAAAATTTCTAAGACCATCTTGTATTTTTCTATTTCTGTACATATCATATTTTGTTACTATATTTACATTTTTTTTTAAACTATTTTTTAAAAGATTTGTTACATTACTAAGTTGCTTCATTTTCTTCAAATTATTTAATCATAAGCTTTCCTAAATAAACAAAATAAAAAATACTTAAAAAGAACTATGTTTAAATGAAATTAATAATTTTTTCTAATGTTAAATTCCTTTTTTCAAAAAAAAAAAAAAAGAAAAAAAAAAAATTAATAAAATCAATTCTTTCAAATGAAAATATTTTAATTCTTTTCGAAATAAAATATTTTTTTCAATGAAAAATTATATAAAAAGAAAAATAAATTTAAAATTATATAATATATAAAAAAAAAAAAAAAAAAAAATATATTAATTATTTTTGGAAAAATATATATATATGAATAACTTAACAGTTCAATAAAAAAAAAAAAAAAAATACATACATTTTTATAAAAAAATTTTGTTTTAAAAACTAAAATTATATGAAGATTCTTTTATTAATCTCCCTTTTTTATGCGTGCATTTTTTTTTTTTTTTTTTTTTTTTCCTATATTTATAGTTTATTTTATATTGGTATGATTTAATTTTATTTTTTGTTTTTAATTCTTCATATAAATGTTATTATTTTATTAAATTATATTTCATAATATTTCAAAGAATCATTTAATATAAATAGTTTTTTATAATCTTTCTTCATAATTCAGGTATAAATAAGTATTATAATTACTATAAATATATTAAATAAACTAATAAATTATAGAGAATTTTATTTTATTAATGGTTACCTGTTAGGTATTTTAGATTGAAACAGTGCAAACATATTTGTTTATATTACAAATATATATTTTTATTAATACTTTAATAATAAACAAATAAGAAAGTATTTCTAACCATACTTATATTTTTATCAAAAAAAAATTTCAAGTTTTTATATCATTTAAAAAATTATATAGAAAAAAAAAAAAAAAAAAAAAAAAAAAAAAAAAAGAAAAAAAAAAAAATATTTAAATTAAGAACAATAAGGAAATGAATAAAAATAACAAAAAAATTATATTTAAATATTTTTACCATATGTAACAGTAGTAATATATAAAATAATGACAGACACAATATAGAAAAGAATTAATAATAAAAACATTTTTGCTGTATTGGTTAGTTCTATTAAAAAAAAAAAAAAAATAAATAAATAAACGTCATATAATGAGTATTATATTGAGTATTTTACATAAATATATTAGAATTATTTTTTAGATAGGAAAAAAAATATAAAATAAAAACTTATGTGATTTATAGATATAAAGCTACTATTGAGTATAATTTAAAAATTATATTGAATATATATAATACATATATGTTTTGATTATTAGTACTTTATTAAAACTTATAAATAATTACTAACCTTGATGTTTTGAAGGTAGTTTTTTATTAACAAAATTTAACGATTCAATTAATGCTTTACTAAGAGATCCCGTAGCAAAATAAGTATTCATAAATTGCATTCTAATTTCATTTTCATTTATATATTGGTTTTCAACACCTTCCCTTTTAACTACAATAAATTTTCCTAATTGCTTTATATAAACAAATAAAATACCATCATGACATTCTTTGTTACCAATCCCCCATTTTCTTAATAAATTATGAGCAAAAATTTGGGCAGATTTTTCATGAGAGTTATTTTTATCTATATGTATTTGTGGTACTAAAGCCACAGAAACCTAAAGAAAAAAGAAAAAATAAAATAAAACAAAATGAAATTAACTTATATACATATATGTTTATATTACTTGATAATAATAAATTCCATTATTTGAACACTTATGAAAATTAGTATCCCTTATCTTAAGTAAAGCTGCTTCAACATTTAATTGTTCATTTAAATTTAAGAAGCGAGAAGGATCACACAACCATGAATGACTTATTCTAATAAAGTGTAGAAAAGATAAAATTTTTATATTTATGTTTATTAAAAGATACTATGTAATAATTACCCTAAAGATAAAACACATTCTTCAGGTTGAATAAAAGGATCAGGAAAAGACATTTCATCATATATATTGTCAATATTGAAATAGCTACTTTTTAAAAAGAATATAGATATATAGATATGAAATATATTAATACATAAAATTATATTTTAATTTCATTTTAACTCATCATTTTCTTCAAGATCTTGAATTAATGGATATAAAACTTTAGAACCAGGAATTCTAATAGTACAAAATAATTATTTATTTTTTATTTTTTTTTTTTTTTTACTTTAAAAAATTAAGTAAAAGATAAATAAATAAAAACATATAGTTTTTCTAAATATTAATAATATACATATATTTTACATATTATTTTTTGTGCTTTTAACATCATTAAAATAAAATTTATCTAATGAGTTAGACTTCCCACATAATCCAAATTTTAAAAAAAAAAAGAAGAAGAAAAAATACATTATTATAAACAATATGTTCATTTTGTTCTTATTTTTTGAAATTTTTTAAGATATTTGAAATTTTATATTGTATATTTTTTTATTAAATATTCCTATTTTAAGCAAAATTAAAAAATATACATTCACAGGGATAAGCTTATAATAAAAAAAATGAGTGCAGATAAATATATAATGCTTAAAAATTAAGATTAATATTTTGAAATATAATTTAGATCAAATTAAAAAAAGATAAAATAAATTAGTATAAAAAAATGTAAGTACACAAAAAAAAAAAAAAAAAAAAAATATATACATATATTCATATACATATATGTATAGCAAAAATATGAATGGAATAAATATTTATAACAAATTGATAAAACTTTTTTTACATATATGTTAATAATCATATATAATTTTAATAACAATTAAAATAAAGTTATTTTTAGTGGATAAATAATAAAACCTAAAAAAAAAAAAAAAAAAAAAAAAAAAAAATCATTTGAATATTAATTCCTTCTTTCTCAAGAATTGAAAAATTCAAATTAATTTTTTTCTTCATTTGAATCTATTAGAAACTAGACTGATTTTCTATATTTATATATACACTACTTATTAAAAACTATGTTTTTCCATAACTTTTTTTTTTTATAAATATTGTAGAAATGAAATTTTTCTTATAACTCATATATTAATTATATTAGTATTCTTCGTGAAATTTCTTTTTTTTTTCCTAAATTTACTTAATATATAAAATTTATAATTTTTTTTTTCTTGCATTTCTTTTTATAAGATGAACTTGTATATATATTTATGTAAAAATAAGAAAATAATAAAAGTATATTCTTTTTATATATATATTTTAATAATGTCTTCTTTTTCTATAAGAATAACTTTTTTTATTATTTTGATATCTACGAAAGGTTTCTTCAGATGATAAATTTATATATTCAGGTATTTTTTGAGCTACAAATAAATCAAGGATTTTTCTATATTCATTTTTTGACATACTTTTAAAATTTTGAATAAGTAATTGTGCTAAATTTTCATTTAGATCAAAAAAAGAGGAACTTCTATCTTTATTGTCTATTTTTACTTGAAGAACTTTATTGAATGTATTTACATTTAATTCACTTGAGATTTTATTTATCCAGTAAATAATGTCATCTTCATTTCTCCATTTTCTACTTTTATTGATGAAACACAAAGTGATAGTTTCAGATAATCCGCTAATTAAAGATCTTTTTTTTATATGATCTTTTTTGGTTATAACAGCCAAACATCTTGATATCAATTCTATTTGATCTATTTGTGTTGAATTACATTTATTAATAATATCTTGTGCAGTTTTATGAAAAAAAGGCAAAACATTTTTATTCACACTATCAATTCTTTTAGATGCTAAATTAGAAGCACATAAAAAAACATCTTCATTACTTGGTAACGTTTCTATATTAAATTTTATACCACAACTTTTTTCTATTTTTAGTAAATCATGCTTATCTTCATTTGAAAATAAAACTAAAGATGTTCCTTTTTTATTAGCCCTTCCAGTTCTTCCTGCTCTATGAATATATATAGAAGAGTAATTAGGAGGGAAACATTGTATAACTAAATCAACATTACTTATATCTAATCCTCTTGAAGCAATATCAGTTGCAATTAAAATCTGAAACATTCCTTGTCTAAATCTTTGCATTGTGTATTCTCTCGTCGATTGTGCAATATTTCCATGTAAAACAGAGAAAGTCAAAGATTTAAAAGATCCTTCTGAACACAAAATATCTGCTTCTAATTTAGTTCTTGTAAAGATAATAACTTGGCCACCATTTGATTTAACTAAAATAAGATCTTCTAATAGTAAAGCTTTTTCTTTTATATCATATGGAGTTTTTATTGCTATATGGTTTATATTTTTTGAAGTTTTATTAAATGAATCAACTACATCAATACAAAAAGGATTTTTCAAATATTTTGAAGAGATATCCTTTATCCATGATGGAGTAGTCGCAGAATATAATAATATTTGAGCTTCTTTTAAATTTATATGACTCAATATTCTTTCAATATCATGAGTAAAACCTAAATTCAACATTTCATCAGCTTCATCTAAAACAAGAAATTTTATGTTTTTTAAAGATAAATTTTTTCTTTCTATATGATCAATTATTCTCCCAGGTGTTCCAGTTAAAATATCAATTCCTTTTCTTAATCTCTTTTCTTGATATGTATAATTTTCTCCACCATATATAGATATTATATTAAAATTATAAAATTGACTTATTTCTTTAAATGTATTTTCTACTTGTTTGGATAATTCTCGAGTTGGTTCTAGTACTAATATAACGGGGTTTTTACTTTCAAATTTATATTCCTCATCTCCTTCAGTTATTTCATTTTTTACTTTTTCTGTTTTCATTTTATGTAATTTCTCTACTAATGGCAAAGCAAAAGCTAATGTTTTTCCTGAACCCGTTTCTGATCTTCCTATTATATCTTTTCCATTATATATAGGATTAAAACTTTGAGACTGAATTTTTGTCATATATTTTATTCCCTTGCTTTCTAAATAATTTACAATATTTTTATTTATTTCATCAAAATGAGAAAACTCATTTTTATCATTTGTACTTTCAATTTTTTTTTTTTCTTTGTCATCTATTATATTATCATCATTTGGTTTTTCATAATATTTAATATTATCTACATCATTTATTGAGTCTCTTTTTATATGATCTATATTATTATATATTTCACCATTGTTGTTTGTTTTATCATTCGTTTCATGGTTCAGATAAATAGAACTTTTATTTTGTTTTTCATTTATTTTTCTTAAAAGGAATTGTTTCTTTAAAAAGTTTACATTATTTTGATATATAAAGAAATTATTATTAATAGATCTAAAAGTTAAAATTTTATTTGTCTTACAAATACATATATTTAAATATAACAACAGAAACGATAATGTAATGTAAATTTTTAATTTAATACCAACATGATTCAATATATTACAAAATAAAGATCTCATGCTTATTTCTTCTTATTCCTTTTTTTTTTTTTTTTTTTTTTTTTTTTTTCATTAAAGAATATTGAACAAAAAAAAAAAAAAAAAAAAAAAATTTATAAGAAAATTCTTTTATATTTGTTATATTTTATTTTAATTAATACAAAAGCATCATAAAATTATATATCATCTAAAGTCATTTTACAACATTTATTTAAAAAATTTACCATATTAAAAGAATAAAATTTTGTTTATAAAAACATACAATAAAAAGAAAATGCATAAATATCAATAATTTCTTTTATATATTATTTTTAAAATAAAATATTTATACATATATATATATATATTTAAAATAAAAAAAAAAAAAAAAAAAAGAGAAAATAATATAGTATTATGTAATATTAAAAATAAGCTCATGTAATAAAAACTTACGACAAAAATTAGTACCTTAATGTACATAAAAATAATAAAATTGAATTAAAAATTAGTAAAATTAAAAGAATTAAATATTTGAATAATAATAATAATTTATTATTATAAGTGTTTTATATATATATAATTTAATAATATATTTTTCTATTAACATATTGAAAATTCTATTAGTGATATTTTATTTATCCCATAAAGTATATATCATTTTTATTTATATGTTTTTTTCTTTTTGTAAAATAGTATAAATAAAAGAAAGAGAGAAAATACAACTTCTTGAGTTATGCATATTTTTTCTGAATTTTCATTTATATGTTTTACTATATGTTAGATTATTTTACTACATAAACTACTTAAAGTTTTATATAAAATATAGATATATTCGTTATAAATATTAGTAAAAATACAAATTTTTTTCTCTTTTTTCATCGTATCTACATCTTGAATTTCTTTTTATTTTCTTTTCTAAAAGCATTATCTCACCTCTAAGTATATAAGAAAAAAAAGTAAAAAAAAAAATATTTTTACCTTTTCATGAGTTTTATAAAATGATTATACATTAAATGGAAGTATTTAAAATGACAATAACATTATACTTTTTCTCATATTTTAATAATAAAAAATATACTAAATAATAATATATTTTAATTAAACGAAAACATTATACCATTATTAAAGATGTTAATATATATATAAAATAAAATAATGTTATATTAAGAATTCTGATATTCAATCATCGGTTACACACATATTTCATTTAATTATATTCCATTAATTTGTGCATAAAATAATAATGCTAGAATATATTTCAGAAAAAAAAAAAAAATTATTTTTGATAAATTCTTAAAAATGGAGAAATACTTATATTTTCTTTTTTTTTTTTTTTTTTTTTTTTTTTTTTGTCTTATTATATCATATAATTGTAAACGTTACAAATTTTTATTTTAAATTTACTAAAGTAGCTAAAGGTGCACAAAGAAAAAAAAAAAAAAAAAAAAAAAAATTNAATTTTTTTTTTTTTTTTTTTTTTTTTCTTTGTGCACCTTTAGCTACTTTAGTAAATTTAAAATAAAAATTTTTAACGTTTAAAATTATATAATATAATAAGACAAAAAAAAAAAAAAAAAAAAAAAAAAAAAATTCATAATACCTAAGGATTTTAAATTATATGAATTTTTAATAATTGTACTTTTATTATACAAAAACATTTCTACATGCATTTGAAAATTATTTCTACAACATACAGTTTAAAAAAAAAAAGACTGAATTTTGTGTAAATTTTTCGTAATATCCGATTGAAAAAGTTACTATTATTCTTTAATATTTTTTTGTATTATATTTAATTTTTAGCTTTAAACTTCAATTTTTTTAAAATGGATGAAAAAAAAAAAAATTTTTATAATTATGTTGATAATATGCATAAAAAAAATGAAGAAATACACAAAACAATGCAAATTAAAGAAAAGTTAAAAAAAGAAGAGCAAAAAAAAATTGAAGAATCTGAGGAAGTTATGAAAAAAAATGATATATATATGTCCAATGTTGATAATATAAATAAAAATAAGGAATTAAGCTATGTTAATTTAGAAAGAGAATTATCTATTCAAAAAAACAAATTACAAAATTTAAAATCCTTATTAAGTGAATTACCCGATGCTATTGATAAAGAAGACGAAAAATATAAAGAATTTAAGTATTTAAAAAAAAAAAAAAAATTTCATTATATAATAAAAAATACAAAAATTTTAAAATGTACATATAAAATAAGAAATACTAGCTATGCAATACATATATAAAAAAAAAAAAAAAAAATAAATAAGAAAATATTAAATATAAAAAATTATTTTTCATTTCATTTTGTAAAGAAAAAAATCATACAGAGAAATTAATGAATTAATGAATACATTAGAATCATCAATTGGTTCTAGAAGTATTGATGAAATGTGGGATAAAATAAAAGAATGTCATAATAATACAGAAAAACTAAATAATGCCATTCAGGAAACATATAGTGAATTATCTATGCTTAATGAAAAATATTATAATTCAAAAGATGAATTTAGAGTAATATATTTAATTTATCCTAAACATTGTTATCTTTTTTCTCATTTATAATACATTTAAGCATGATATATTTTTTATTAATATATAATTCTTTTATATTTCACAATTTTTATAAATCAATATATATATTATTTATTTTATAGGATCTTGTTGAATTAGAAAAGAATAAAAAAAAAAAGCTAAAAAAAATATCAGTAACACTACAGGTATATTATATATATATATATACATATGCTTATTTATATTATTGATTTTCTTTACCTTCTTTATTTTTATTTTTCAAATATGGTAGTTTATTCAAAATTTAAAACAAGGGGTAGGTGAAAAAACAAATAATGAAAATGATTTAAAGAAAAAATTAGAAGAAATAAACGATTTATATAAATAAGCAACGTTTGGCAATATTATATTTGGTGTGACTTTGTATAAATTTTTTACTTTCTTTCTCTCTTCTATGTTTATTATTATTACTTCTTCTTTTTTTTTTTTTTTTTTTTTTACATTGAATTTTTTAATTCTCTTTTATAATTTTTTCTTAAAGATCTTTTTCTACTAAAAAGTTCTTCAAATCTTACATTATTTTTATGAAGTTCATATATTTTTTTCGTTATTAAATCATTCAAATTATTAAAAATATATATATCGCCTGTACTTGCCCCTCTACTTATTCTCCCATTCCTATGAAGGAATAAAAAAAAATATATTAAGATAACATTTTATCTAAAAAATATATATAAAAATACAACATATAAATATATCTACATTATGTTTTAGTTTTTTTTTTTTTTTTTTTTTTACTACACTTTTTTTAAGTATAATACAAAACTTTTCTATTTTTTTTTTTATTTTTTTTCATTCTTTATTCTTTTTTTTCTTTTTTTTTTTATATTAATATTATATCATATTATATCAGATTATATCATATTATTTCTAATATAAATATTATAATATCATATAGTTGTCTTTTTGTTTTTAATATTACTATAATTATAATAATGTAATATATTATTATTATGAATTATTATATAATTTACTTTTAATAATGTATTATATATAATTATTTTATTTTTAAATTTTCAGAATTTTATATTTCACTTTATATTTTTTAATTACCTATGAGTATATACTATGATATTTGTTGGTGTATCAAAATGAAAAAGATGCGTTATGTTTTTCACGTCAATACCTCTATATATAATATCAGTAGTTACTAAAATTGGTTTTTGTGAATTCTTAAAATGTTCTAGAATGATTAATTGATCTGTTTTTTTAAATGAAGAATTAAAAATGAAAATGTTATCAAAAACTGATTTCATTAAACTAAATGCCTGATTGCAACTTTTAATAGTATTGCAAAAAATAAGAACTTTTTTATGATTTTCTCTTTGAAGAATTTTTTTAATTGCTTCAAACTTTGTATTAATATTATAAATAGGTAAATTAATAAAATGATAATTAATAAATGGATGAATATTATGAAAGTAATTTGTTTTTATAATTACTGAATTTTTTATATATTTCATTATGTTGTTATATATAGATTTTTTTCCTTTATTACATAAGGTAGATGATGTTATTATTGATACAAAATTATCATGTATTTTTTTTATTTCATCAAAAATATAATTCATATATTTAATGTACGGTTTTTCAAATATTACATCTGCTTCATCTATTATCAAAAATTTTAAATTCTGAAAAAAATTTATTAATATTTCTTTATTTTCTTTCATATAGTGATAAAATTTTACAGGAGTTGATATAATTATGTGATTCTTATTTAGATTTATCTTATCTTCATTTTTTAAATTAATTGTTTTAACTTTTACATTTCTAAAAATAAAAAGAATATACATATTTTTGCATATTATATATTTTTTTTTTTAATTTGTAGAAATAGTAATATATATATATATATACGTATATACAATGTATATTTATATTAAGTCTATAAATAAATTTTCTTCTAAAATGTTGTTTATATTAAATTATTTAAATGTAAAACAAATATTGTTCTATTTAAAATGGATATTTATTTAATTAATGAAACAAAAAATGTAATAATTTATTTTAAAAACAAAAGAAATTTTTTATTTTATGAATAATGTTTTAAAATTACTTTGAAAGAAGTTTTATGATATCATAACACTGATTACATAATAAATTGCTATATTGAAAAATTATAATACATGTATTTTTTTTTTTTTGATTTAATAAATGATTTAAAATTAAAATTATGTAAGACAAAGTTTTCCCTATACCATTTTCCGCACCTATAATAATATTTTTTAATTTCTCATAATTTTTATTATAATAATCTAATAAATCTGATTGAATTATTGAAGCTACATTAATATTATTTTTTTTTAATTCCTCTACTAATGTTTTATGAACATTTAAATCAGAAAAAGTTTTATTACTTTTAAAAAAATAGTCATCTTTGTTATTTATGATTTCATTTATGGATGGGAAATTTTCGACTGTATAATTGAAATTCCTTTGTGAGTTTTTAAGAATAAAATTTTTATATTTATTTTTTAAATTTACATACTTATTTAACTTAATATTAATATTAATTATATTGTAACTATATATTTGAAAAAAAAAACAAAAAAAACAAAAAAAACTAAAAATTAAAATATGAATAAAAAACATAATAATTTATTATTTTTAATATTCCTTCCTTTGATTTTTAAATTTCATTAAGATGAAAAATAGAAATTTCTTAAAAATAAAATCAAAGAAAAGTTAAAAAGTATTTAAATATATAGAAATTAAAAAAACAGTGTAATTAAAATGTAATAATATTTTTATATAAATAAACGTTTTTATGCAAATATAATTTTATAAAAATTAGAAATTATTTTGAAAACTTTTATCATATTGTAGAAAATTGTTATAATTATTTTTTTTCATTAAAAATTAAAAAGATTTTTGATACATAAAAAAATGAAAAATTATTGTTATAAATTATTAAAAAGATAAAAAAAAAAATGAACAATTTTTCATTTAAAAATTTAATATACCTTTTTTTTTAAAATATAATTTTTTTAGTAAGAGTAAAAATTTCTTTTTTTAATAAAAAGTAAAAAAAAGGTATTTATGCTCTTTTAATGGTTAGGGAAAGATAGTATAAATTATTTTTCTTTCCTTTTTTTTTACATAAATTAAAAAAAAAAAAAAAAAAAGAAATAAACAAAATAAAAAAAAAATAAAAAAAACAATCCCATCTTTCAGTATACATAAAAAATGGAAATTTTGTATAAAAATGAATTACATAAATGAAAACATTTATATATACACATTAATGTATTTAAATGATTTCTAAGAAAAAAAAAAAAAAAAATGAATATATTACCATAAAATAATGTGCTAATTTATTAATAAGAAGCTTTTTTCACTTTTTTTTTCTTCATAATTTTGTAACAAAAAAATAAACAAATTTATATAAATTAGTTTCTTCTACATCTTTAGGTAAAATATAGTTTTTGTCATTTAATTTTTTTTTTTTTTATTGAAATGAAAAGATTATTTTAAAAAAAAAAAAAAAAAAAAATCAAAATGGCTTATTTTTCCGATCTTAGCAAACAGTGTGAAATGATTGGTTGCAGAAATCATGATTTTCTTCCTTTCAAATGTGAATATTGTAATTTAAATGTATAAATATATAATAAATAAAATTACGTGTAAATATGATTACAGTCTGTTTATCAACATATTTATTCTTAGTCAGAAAAAAGAAAAATGCTTAAAAAGGTTATTTTTATTTAAAAATTTATGTTCACTTATTACAGTTTTGTGAATTACATAGAAATATTCAAGAACATCTTTGCCCCAAATCAAAAAGTTTTGATTCAAAGGTTGTTTTGTGTGAATATTGTAACTTGACTTTACCTGATGTAAGTTAAAAGAAATAAATTGTAAATAAAGTGTGATTCTAATAAAAAATTATGAATACATTTTTTCATTTGTTTATATTATTTTAGTATTTATGTTTATAGTTCCATGGATACAAAGTTTTTATTTACCTTTTTATGTTCTTTAATCATAAAAGTATATTATATACATAAATATTATATTTTTATAAATATTCAGAAAACAGAAGAAATAAAAAAGCATTTAATTTATAAATGCTCATATAAAAAAAAGAAAATGTCTATACTCATATGTAATGAAAAAGAATGTAAAACAGTAAGTAAAAAAAAAAAAAAAATAAATAAAAATTATTTTTTTAAAATATGTACTCATTTATACTTAATAAAAATTTTAAATTAAATTGAGAGGTGAAGATTTTTTTATTTTCAATATTTTTTTAATATGTAATGTTTCATAACAAAAAATTTTCATAAATTAATGAAAGACATGGATATTATTTAAAATTTTTTCAGGTTTTAAATGGAATTAACAATTACAAATGTAAAAATTGCAAAAGGAATTTTTGTTTGCCTCATCGGTATCCAGATGTGCATAACTGTATCAAAGAGTCAAAAGAGAAAAGCTTCTTTCAGAGTATACAAAATCTTTTTAATTCATATATTTAAAATAAAAAATTACAAATTTATTATTTTTTATTTTTATTTTTTTTTTTTTTTTTTTTGTAATAGAATATTTTTTTTTCTTTTAGAATATAATGAAAATAAAATTACGAAACAAGATGATTCCCTTAAAAAAACAAACAAAAAAAATAAGGTTACCTCAATTTTTATATTTGGATATATATATATGACTTTTGTATGAAATACTTTTGATAATAATTAAGAAACTTATGTAATTTGTTTAATTTATATTTTTAAATAATTTTTAGAAAAAATGGGAGAAATGTTGCTCAATTCAATAAAATTGATTAATTAAATTTATTTTTCTATATTTTATTTTTTGTTACTTTCATAAATTTATATTATATATATATATATTTTACTTTTGTTTTTTAATTAATAAAAATATTTCATCTTTTATTAAGTATTCTCTTATTTTGCTTATGATTTGTTTTAACTTTTATTATTAAAAAAAATATACTATTACATCATATATGAAATACACTGCATATTTTATGTTTCATATAAGAACATAACTTTTTTTTATTCTTTTTAAATTTTTTTTTTTTTTAACAATTCAAAGGTTTTTTAATTAATAGTAGTTTTAAGTTATAAAAAAAAAATTTAGAAACTGTAAAAAATAAATTGTAATAATTTTTTTATAAAATTAACAATTAGAAGAAAAAAATTAGCATTATAGATAATTATATATGAAAGATCAAAATCAAATAAATTTCATATGATTTATAAAATAAAGAATTTTTAAATTTTTGTTCAAAAAATAGAAAGAAAAAAACATGAAAGAACTTTTATATGATATATAAACAATTAAGGAATATTTTTTAATTATGGGAAAAAAAATTAAAAAAAAGAAAGTTAAACAGGAATTTTTCTATTTTTATAATTAAAAAATTTTCTTACCATATTATAAAGTTTTTCACATAAAATATATTTTGATATAAAAATATTAAAAGCTATATTTAAAAAATTTAAGAAAAGAAATCTTATTTTATGGTTCCTACTCAATATGTTATTTCCATTAGGTCCATAAAAATTTAAACCACTAGCTGAATATGAAAATAAATCAAGAATTTTGAATTTAGTAGTTTTTGAAATTTCATTATTGCAATTCATACGAAATAAACATGTTAACTTATTAGGACCTCCTAATGTTAAGTATAATAAAAAACTATTTATCAAAAAATAATACCTGTAAAAAAAAAAAAAAAAAAAAAAACAGAATTAAATATAATAAATTATAATAATATTATAAAAAAATATATATATATATATATGTACATATGTATAATAATAATAATAATATAACAAAATGTATTATATATATGGTTTTTTAAGTTTTTATTATGCATATTCCATTACGTCATAAAGGTATAATTCGTAAAAATATTTTTTCTGTATTTTCCTCCAAAAGTTAAAATAAAAGCACTATTTACAATTTGAAAACAAAACCAAATACATGTCAAAAAACTTTCATAATTATCACTCATTAGCCACCAAGATGATTTGGGTGCTGAACTGTTCATGTGATATGATGTTGGTAAGTTATAAATATAAAAAAATTGAAAAATAATTATATATAGAAAGAAAAAATTAACAAAAAGTGTACATAATAAAGAAAGAATAGTTTGTGCACCTATAATACTTGAGGTAGGTGTCTGTGTTTTTAATTTAAGTGCTGGTTTTGATAAAGTCATTGACTTAGCTAGCAATAATAAAATTACATTATCAAAAAATAAATATCCGTATTCTGACATAACTGCATGTGCATGCATAAATAAGACAATTTTAATAATTGAAATCATAAATCCATATAAAAGCATATACTTATAACAATTTATAGATGTAACTAAACATGCCCTTCCTTCTCTTAATATATCAATCACACTTTTTAAATTTTCATTTCTACTACTGAAGGGTGATACTACGGATGTATCAGAATTTGATAAAGCTAAACCTGCATGGGAAATTTTTAAAGCACCACAATCATTGCTTCCGTCCCCACACATACCCGATATATAACCAAAACTTATAAAATCTTTTATTACTTCAATTTTATTATTTGGAGTTAACCTCGAAAATATTCTTACCCTTAATAAGAAATTTTTATATTCTTCCAATCCTTCATTATTAAATTCTTCATCTGTATTTTTAATATGAAATATGCTTTGTTTTATTAATAGATATGCTTCACCTGTTAAAATTATTTCTTTATAAATATCATGATACAATACAATATTTTTATTAATTTTTTTGTCATTTTGTATATTAACAAATACCAACTCATCATTTAATACATATCCATATACTATTATATTTTCTTCGTATTTTTCTTCATTTATATAATGTGAAGCTTTATTATTCATAAAATCATATTGATTTTTAGATTTTATAAGGATGCTTTCCTTATCTTTTATATTTTTATCATTTTCCTTACTATTATTAACGCTATTATATTTATCAACAATTATATCATTGCAATTATAATTTTTTTTATTAGTACCATTATTATTACTACTATTCGCAATATCTTTATCATTTGAAATTTTACAAATAACACTATTTTTAATACTACAATCATTTTGATTTAAATTATTAGATATAGATTCTTCTTGTCTATCTTCTTTTTTGCTTGGAGATAATAAAGGAGTATTTTCTTCTGGTTCATATTTAAAGTTTTTACTATTATATTTTGATTTAATAGATGAATACTTTATATCAACATATTTTTTACTTTTAACATTTTCTTTATCAGTTTCCCTTTTATCAATATTTTTGTTCTTTTTTTTTTTTTTTGATTGTTCATTATATTTTTCTGTAATGCAAGAAGAGTTACCTAATTTGTTTTCACTGCTGCTTGATTTTATAAGATTTTCAAAAGATAAAAATTTTGTTTCGTTAGATTGAAATTCATTTTCATTATTATTTTTTTTAATTTCATAATTAATATTAGAATTTATATTTAATGAAAAACAAGAGTCATAAAATTCTACTTTACTAAATAAACCTATTCTATTACCAACATATAAACAATTATAAGCATTATCACCAGTTAATATAACAGGTCTAATTGAAGAATCTTTTAAAGTTTGAATAACATTAGGTGCATCATTTTTTACATGATTATTAAACATTATTAATGATAAAAAATTCATTTCTTTTTCTAATTCTTCTCTAGATAATTCCATGATATTCTCATAAGATGATTTCCGTATAATTTTAAATGCTAAAGCAATAACATAAAATCCATTTTTACTATATTCTTGTTCTTTTTTTTTAAAAAAATATATTTCATCGTTTTTAATACATTTTTGATAAATTTTATCAAAGGAACCTTTTGAAAAAACAATGTAAATTTTGTCTTCAAAATCAAAATATCCATATGATAAAGTAGTAGATATTTTTGTGTAATAATCAAATTCATATGTTTTTAAAATGTCGAAACATTTATATTCATCATTCATTTTTAAAGTAATTTTTTTTATATTCATATCATGTTTATTAATATAATTACTTATTCTCATCTCAGTTGCTTCAAATAATCTTTTATCAATTTCATTTCCATATATATTATTACTATCATAATAAACACATGAACAACCAGCTAATGCATAAATTAGTAAATGATAATTTGATGGGGTATTATTAAAAGTAACTTTATTAGTCCACATTAATTTACTATTATAAAGTAGGGAAGTAATCAAATTCATAGAAGTATTAGATTCATTAATATTACTTGTTTTTGCAATTGTATTATTAATACCTTTTTTATTACTGTTTTTTAGGAAATCTTTTTTTTGTTTCTTTTTAATAAAATTATCACATCTGGTAATATTAGAATCCACATTAATTGATATTTGTTGATCTTTCTTTAATTTATCTTTTGTTTTATTTTCAAAATTATCTTTATTATACTCTTCTTCATCATATGAAATTTTATAATTATTTGGATTATTATATTTATCAAGTCCCTTTTTTTGAATATTTTTTTTATTATCTTTATTAATTTTTTTTAAATTTTCATTATAAATATTTTTTTCTTGTTCTTTATAATTAATATTCTTTATTTCATCTTCATAATATTTATGTTCTTCCATTTCATCATAACTTTGAAAAACATCACCAGTTGATGTTTGCCTACTACCATTGCTCCTTTCATTTTTATTGCAATTAGATGACTTTTGATCATAAAATTTTTCTTTTTCTTGTTGATCATATGTGTCATTATCTGTTAAAGTAAATAACTTACTTTTGTAATATGGAAAAGATTTTTGCATATATTCATTATTTATGTTTTTATTTTTTTCTTGATTAATATTACTTGTCTCATTGAAACCAATACTAGAATAAAAAGAATGTTGTGAATTATTATTAGAATCATTCTTATCTTTAATATTACTTTTTGCAAAAACATTATTATTAATATTATTAGAACTGTAATATTCAACAATATTATTTGACAAAAAATGTGGTGCATTATAGTCAAAATCTCTTAAATTCCAATTTTTTTTTAAGTTATTTTTGTAAAATGATTTAAAATTTTTATTATTAAGTAAAGAAAAGTTTTCAAATTTGATATCATATGTATCATCAGAAATACTTTTGTTATGATTACTATGTCTTGAGTGTATTTTTTTTTTTTCGTTTAAAATGTTATTGCAAAAGTGAACCCCTGAAAGTTCTATTTTATGATCTGTTAATGTTCCTGTTTTATCAAAAAAGAAAATACGAATTTTACCACATATAGGAATTCTAGATGGAGCAATGCAACATATATTTTTTTCTTTTTTTAATCTATTTGTAGATATATTTAATCCTATATTTAAAACTACAGGTGTCCATACTGGTAATATTTGAGATAAAGTTCCAATTGAATAAAAAATAGATGTCATGTTAAAACCTAAGTAATATATTTGAAAATAAAAACAAATTAAGCTAAATAAAATGGTAAAAATAAAAACTATGGGTAATTGAGAATCATATTTAAAAAGTAAAGGATTTGGGAATAATACATTTTGCATGTATTTTCCTTTATAAGTATATATGCTTACATTTATTACTATAGCATATATATTATCTGAAAAATTCAAGGTAGATATTACATCTGTTCCAGCATATAATATATTATTTGTGTTATAATTATTAGAAAAGTATTTATTATGTTCATTCTGTTTATTATAATCTCTTTTGTTTATTATATTTGCTTCATAGTTTTTTTTTTTATTTATTCCTTTTTGTTTTTCAATAAAATTCTCTTGGTTTTCATTAAAAATATAAGATTCGCTTGAGTTTATCTTTTCACAAGAATTAAAAGAATTTAAATTTGATATACATATTTTTTTCATTGGTCTAGATTCCCCTGTTAATAAACTTTCATCAACTAAAACATTTCCTGTTAATAATAAACAATCACAAGGTATAGTCATTTTTGATGTTATTATAATTATATCACCTATAGTTAAATTATTTGAAGGTATCTGTTGAACTATAGAATTTCTGTAAACAGTTACTACAGTGTTATTATTAGCTTGAATATTTTCAAAAATTTCTTTCTTATTTTTTTGATTTTTAAAAATTTTCTTCATTACTGTTAGCAAAGATATAACTAACCAAATTAAGGATGTTATTATTTCTTTCCAGAAAAAATTTTTATAAGTTATAAATAACTGAAACATATAAATACCATCCAATAACTCTCTTTTTAAATTTTTAAAAAGAGAGTAAAATTCTAAATGAATATTATTATATCCATACTCATTTATATTATTTATAATTTCGTTATTATTCAGACCTCCTTTTTTCAAAATGTAATTGAAATCTAAATTATTTACTTTTTCATTTATACTATGAGATATATTATAAAAGGCATCCTTTTTTTCATTATATACATATTTCATACTGCGAAAAAAAAAATATCGTATATTTTTTTCATTTATTCTTACTTTTACTTTATGAACTTTTAATTTATTCAGAGATTTCGTTTCAATTTTTTTTTTTTTTTCATTTCTTATTATTTTATCTTCCCTCATGATATTTTCCTGATTTTTGCTTCTCTTTATTTTATTGAACTCTTTATATTTTTCTTCATAACCATTTTTTTTATATTGAAAAATGCTGCTTTTATTTTCATTTTTATAATTATTGGATAAATGGAAATGTAGAAACAGAAATTTTCTTAATTTATAATAATTATTTTTAAAAAAAATATAAAAAAATTCAAAGACATCTTTGAAAATGTTTTTATAAAAATTTATGTAATCTTCATTTTTTGTATAAATTAGTACATAATCACTATCTTTTAAAAGTGATGGTTTTAAAAAAAAACCATGCATATGTTTTCTAACAATTAATATTCCATACGTAATTATAAAACTTAATAGAAAAAAAATAAAAAATACAAAAGCTCTATCATTCCATAACTTTTCATTATTTTCATATATACAATATTCATTAATTATCAATAATATAATTATTATATGAGTAATTAAGTAAAATATAATAGATATATTTTTTAGCATAAAACCAACAAAACTATTTTTATATCCTTCTTGTCTAATAATTACTTCATCTGAATTAGCCGATTCATATATATAATTAAAAAATTCTAATTTTTCATTTTTATATTTTGATTCATGGTTCCTCCATTTGTGTCTTTTATTTATTTTATTTTGAAAATGTTTTTTACATAAACACCATATAAAAAAGCTTAATAACAAGAAAATATAAATAAAACATATATATTTAAGCTCTTTGTAATTAATTAATAAACTATCAGATTTACAAAATCTGAACATTTTTCTTTTTTTTTATTCATATAAAATAATCCTTTTTTCTACTTAAATTCATATATTGAATTCTTATCTTAATTATATTTCGTTTCATAAAAAAAAAAAAAAAAAAAATGAAAAGCTAAAATTATATATATATATATATATGTTTATTATTCTTTATTTTTTTTTATAACTTGAACAAATTTTTTTTTTATTATAATATCTATATACCTATATATAATTTAAATTAATGAATTATTTTATGAAAAGTTCATTACAATAAATAAATTTATAATAATATATATTATTTTTTAAATAAGCTTGCAACTATAAAGGTAGTTTTAAAAATATCTTTAACTTATTTTTTCTTTCTAAATATAATTATTCTTAACAAAAGCATAAATATGTGTAGTTTACATATGTCATTATTAAAACAATCTAATTAATATATCAGCTTATCTACATCTGTAAGTAAATATTTGTTAAAAAAAAGTTATTTTATATATATAAAATTAAAGCATACATATATATATGTTTATATAACTCATGATAATTTAATAATTTTAAGAAAAAAAAAAAATATAGTTTAAAAAAATATTTAGATTTATAATATCTTTATTAATATTCATTTATAAAAAACGAAATTTAAAAATATTTAATATAATTTTAGGAGAATTAAAAATAATGACAAAATTATGTTTTATATAAGATGAATACAGATGTATTTTATATAATTAAACTTATAAAATAAAGCTCAGAAAAAATTACATAAAATAAAAATATAATAAAAAGTATAGTTTATAAAAAAAAAAGAAAATAAAATTTATAAAAATTTATATTTATTTTTAGTAAAATAAAGTTTTCAATTTAAAAATACATGCTTCAAAATGATAACAAATAAATTACATCTGTTTTTTTTTATAATGAAACGGTAAATAAATGCATATATATATATTTTTATAAATAGATTTATTAAAGAAGCAAAAGTAATACAAAAAAAAAAAAAAAAAAAAAAAAAAAAATTACAAATCAAATGTAAGAGAACAAATTTCTTTTGTTAATTTTTAATATGAAACGTTTTATTCTAATGAGTATGCCTAGTTATTCAAAACAAAAATTTAGTAAAAAAAAAAAAAAAAAAAAGATTTTATTAGTTTACACTACTATATCCATACAAATAAAATAAAAATTAATTTTATCTAGAATAACTAAATTTGTATGTAGAATGAATAAATATAAAGATTTGTTAACAACAAAATTTGAATATAAGTATTTAATTTATACTTTATCTTTTGTATCTTTAAATATAGGTTAAGAATATGAGAATATTAAGAGAAAAGTTTTATAAAAAGATATATATAAAAAAAATTAATATATATATATATATATGTATATATATGCATGTATATATATGTAAGCACAATTATATTAGAATATATTTATTTATACAGATGTATAAATAAAGGTTTTATTTATTTTCTCAGGAATTTGCAATGAATATATAAAAAAAAAAAAATTGAATTATAAAAATGAGGAAAAGAAAATATATTTTAACATAACAGAAAAAAATTTTGAAATTATAAATAATAAAAATTATTCAAGCACAATTGAAAAAATATGCAAAAATTTTAATTTTTCAATTGGAAAAATAGCAGAAGCATCAAATAGTTATTATCCATTAGATTATCATTTACAATACTTGAATGATATTCTTGAAAAAAATAAAAGCAGTTTAAAAAACATTATTGAAAAAGAAAGTAAAAATATTGTATTAGATAAACTAATAGAAGAAATTATAAATTATTTTGAATTATATATTAAGAGAAATGATAACAGTAGTTCCATTTTTTTAAAAAATGTTGATTTTAGTCATTTAAAGGAATTTCTTATACAACGAAAAAAGATTAATTTAAAATCACCTGATTTATTAACACATTTCATTGATGAGCTATATGCATATATATATTTACACTTAATAGTAAATTACAAGAGAAATAATTTTTTTGATTTTATAAAAATTAAAAGGTCATACAGACATTGTAGTGAAAATTCAGGAAAAGATATAGGTTTAGAATTAAATAATTATTTAGGGATAAACAATAATGATACTGATTTACATTTGGAAAAAACAAATTATGTTAATAGTACCAAGTATGTTTTAAATATTGACACGGTTAATGAAATAAATAAAAGCTTACGTGAATATGGAATTGTTGTATTAAAAAATTTCATACCTAAAGAAAATATAGATAAAATAAAACAAGAACTATTTCTCGAAAAAAATAATATGAACATATCTTCATTTTTAATGAATAAGGATCAAAATATTTATTGTATAAGACCGACAAGAGGTAGACAATATTGCATAATTAGAAATAGTAAAATTAGTGATTTATTTGCAAATATTCAGCAATATTGGATGAATATAATATATTCATATTTACCTATAGGATCTTATGAAAATATAAACAATATTTTTAACAAAAATGTAATTTTTAAACTTGATGAATTTAACAATTTAAATTTGAAAAATGAACACAATGATAAGTTATATTTATCAGAACTACAGTTAATTAATAATGAACCACTAAGTGAAGTTCAAACATATCATGTGGATAATGGGATAAATGGTTTATCAGTAATTTTACCCTTAAATAAAGTAAATAAAGAATCAGGGAACTTCGAATTTTTTATAGGAACTCATTTATTTTCATCAAAAAAAAAAAAAAAATTAAAACAAAAAATTTATGATTTCAAAAGATTCATGGAATTGTATTATAAAACAGGATCATCATTTGTCCCTGAAGTTCAAGAACAAGATTTGATCATTTATGATTCAAAAATATTACATAGAGGATTGTCAAATAATTTATGGACAAAAAATTCCTCTTTAATTTATCGCTATGACTATAAGAAATATCCGCCACCTGGTCAAGATTTTATTGACATATTTTCTTATAATTTTATTGGAAAATGTATATCTTTTTTTAATTTTTTAAATAAATATTTATAAATTTATTTTATAAAAACATACATAATTTTTTTTTCTAATAATTTTCTTCCATTAATTTTTATATTAATTTATTGAAATTATACATTATTAGTTTTATTACGTGAGCATAATTATTTTTTTAGTATACATATCTTCTTTTATTTCTTTTTTGCATTATTTCTTCTTTTTTTAATTGATATATTTTTCGTTAAACATTATTACATCTGTTTCTTCATTATACTTTTTTTTTTAAGAAGCATTATCTAAAGTTTTTTTTTAAACTTTTTTTTTTTCAGAAAAAACGTTACGTTTATGTATTTTGTATTATTTGTTGTGTTTATTATATGATACTTTATGAAATTTTCTCAAAAAATTTCATTTTTTTCATGAATAATCATACAAATATATATATACATTAGATAAATACTAATTTCTTTTTCAACAACACTCTATATTATTAATTTATGAGAGCATAAATTAAAAATAAATTTATAAAATTAATGAACATACTAAAAAGTTATAATTTTTAAATTTTATTAAATTATAGTTTTTATTAAAAACAATAATAAATTATAATTCATTTAAAAAAAATTAAAAGATAAAATTTAAAAAAAAAAAATTATTTACTCTATTTCCGAGTGAGAACCCCCTCGAGCTCTATGAAATAAAAAAAAATAAATATTATTAAAAATAATAATATTTTGTTCTTTAATTTTTTTTAATTAATATATAAATACAAAACATAAATAAAAATTAATTTCATTCACAAATATATTTCTTTTTTGTAATTCATATTATAAGAAATAAGAAATGTAAAAAAAAAAAAATAGAAATATCAGAATAAAAATTCATTCGTTTTAAAAGAAATTGAAGAAAGCATATGTAATTGAAGATAAAAAAAAAAAAAAAAAAAAAAAAAAAAAAAAAAAAAAAAAAAAAAAAAAATGAAATTGAAAACATAAAATTTTTCAAAAGAGAATAAAAAAAAATTTAAATTATTTTATTCTTTTGAAGAATTAATTTTAATATAAATAAGATAAAAATAAATTTTTTCTTAGAATCCTTTTTTGTTATTCCAAATTTTGTGTAAATTTTAAAAGATACATTTTTTAGTTTTATAAAAGCGAAAATGGTAAAAGGTAATAACATAATATTTATTTAAAAAAAATAAGTAAAAATAATAAGTAAATACATGAAAAAGATAACTAAAGTATTAAAATATGTAGAATAGAGAATATTTAAAATAATAGAAAAAATATCTTGAAAAAAACAATTATATCTATATAATATTAAAAAAAAGCAAAATAATTTAATTATATTTAATTTTTTTTTTTCTTCTTTTTAGGTACAAAAAAGCAGAAAAAAACTTTACAACCAATTACTAAATTTATTACAATAAATTTAAGTAAATTAACTCATAAAGTATGTTATAAAAGAAAAGCCCCAAGAGCTATTAAAGAAATTAGAAATATAGCTGGAAAACTTATGCACACGAAAGTATGTTATTTTTATTCATTTTTTTTTTAATTAATTTCATTATAGAAATACTAGAATATATAAATTTTTATTTTTTACGCCTTTATATAATAAATTATAATAATACTTTTTTTTTTTTTCTCTATATGAAATATATGGATAATTATGCTAGCATGCATTTTTATATATCTTTTATGTGAAATGTGTGTATTACTACCTTTATAAACTTTTTATTTTCATTAAATTTATAAATAAAAAGTTAAATGTTGTTTTGTCTCATTGAATTTATTTATTTTTATAGGATGTACGTTTAGATGTAAAGCTAAACAAATTTATTTGGTCAAAAGGTATTAGAAATCCACCAAAAAGAGTTCGAGTTAAGTTAGAAAGAAAAAGAAATGAAGATGAAGATTCTAAAGAAAAGATGTATACAATTGTTCAACATGTTATGGTTGATTCATTTAAAGGGTTAGTTAATGAATGTGAAGCAAATGAATAAACAACATAAATTTAAAAAATATCATATATGTACATATACATAGGTATAATTTTTTTTTCATTATTTTATTTTTTAATTTTTTTTATTAATGTGTATAATGAATAAAATATATGAGTTAGTACATTAAAAATTTTATGAGTATATATATAGTTTAATAAAACATTTACTAATGATTATTTTAAAAAAAACAGCTAAAATTTAATTTAAATAAAATAAGGGGAGAGAACCTCTCAGTTCACACAAATTTTAAAAGATTTTCATTTTTTAATAGGATTTTTGTCATAAGTTATTATTTTTATTTTTTTTTTTTTTAACAAAATATTGCGGAAAAATATACATATGTTGCAATTTACTTTTGTTCTGAACTTGTTCATACCAAAAAAAAAAAAAAAAAAGGTTGCACACATCTTAAAAGAGAAATTTGAGGTTTTCTCACTAATAAATTAAAGCTTTTTTCTTTTTTTTTTTTTTTTATTTCATTTAAGTATATGTGACATATGTTTTTTTTTAAAAGTTATTAATTAGGCATTCTATGTTTTGAAATTATAAAAAAAAATATATATATTTATATATATAATAAATTTATTGTTTTTGTTATTTTGAAGTTATGCAACATTACAATATATAATATATTTAATTACATTATAAATTCCAAAAAAAAAAAAAAAAAAAACAGAATAAAAACGGTAAAGAAAAAAAAAAACCAAATAGAGGAACTAATAGATTATACGAATTAAAATACTATTTTCTTCAGATATTCTACGAAAAATAAAATGTGAAAAATTTTCTGGTTTTAAAATATAATATAAATATCATCAAAAATATAAAATAAGATAAAAAGTGTGTTTATATATTCTTTTCTATATTTTTTATTTAATGAAATGGAAAAAATAAAAACAAAAATGTACAATATTTTAAATAAAAATTAAAAACATGAATAAAACTAATGAATTAAATCATTATTTCAGAATAAATAGTGAATTTATTAACAAAAATGAAAATGACAATTTTTACGTCTGGACATACAAAAGCCCAAATGTTGACCTTTATCCAGATATTATATTCTTTAAATGTCTAGTTATTAGTATTGATGGAGATAACTATAAGCTGAAAGAAATTTCTCCCGAAACAAATAGTATCTATGTAGTAAAAAAGGAACATATATTTAACTGTAATAATATGGTAAATGTAAACAGTCATAGACTAAATGATATGATTCACCAAAATTCTGCCGAGGTTTTAAATACTTTAGCTTTAAGATATGAACAAAATTATATATATACTATAGCTGAACCAATGCTAATATCAATAAATCCTTATCAGGTTATTGATGTTAATATAGATGATTATAAAAATATGAATAATGATCAGCTTCCACCTCATGTATATACATATGCAAAAGATGCATTGTATGATTTTATAAATACCAAAAACAATCAATCAATTATTATAAGTGGAGAAAGTGGGTCCGGTAAAACGGAAGCCTCAAAACTTGTTATCAAATATTATTTGTCAGGAATTAAAGAAGATAATAACATATCAAAAACACTGTGGGATTCCAATTTTATATTAGAAGTACAACATAAAAAAAAGAATTCATATAATTATATTTTTTATATTAAATGTGTAATAATAAAAATAGTTTCTCTAATTTACTACTGTATAATTTTCAGTCTGTTCTAATTATTATATATTATTAATATATGTATATTTATTTATTATATATATATAGTTTTTTTTTTTTTTTCTAACTTTATTTTTTTAGGCTTTTGGCAATGCAAAAACCATAAAAAATAACAATTCAAGTAGATATGGAAAATATATTAAAATACAATTAGATGATAATCAAAATATTGTTTCATCATGCATTGAAATATTTTTATTGGAAAAAATAAGAGTTGTTTCTCAAGTAACCTCATTTAAAATATATTGAATTTTATGGCATCAACATTCTAATTATAAGCATTAACTAAAAGAACAATATTTCTATTTTTTTTTTTAATTTTATATTTCCATTATTTCATATATTTAGGACATATATATGTATACTTTCTCTTAAATTTATAAAATAGGAAGAAGATGAAAGATGCTACCATATTTTTTATGAAATTCTAAAAGGAATGGATGATGATATGAAAAGAAAATATAATTTTAAAATGGAAAATGAATATAAATATCTTACAAATGGATACCTAAGTATTCCAGGTAAAAAATGCATTGTTTTCTTCTACTTTTGATTATTATAAAATCTATCTTTCCTTTTTATATTTTTATAAAAATATAATTTTTAATCTTTTATAATTTATTTTTTTTTTTTTTAGAAATAGATGATGCTAAGGATTTTCATAATCTAATGGTTTCTTTTGATAAAATAAACATGAGAAACTTAAAAGATGACCTTTTTTTTATTTTATCAGGTAAATATTGTTATTTGTATTTATATATTTTTATTTAAGTAGTAGTTAACTTTATTAATTTAATTTTTTTTTTTTTTAAGGAATACTATTATTAGGAAACATAGAATTTAATGAGATAGAGAAAGGAGGAAAAACAAATTGCAGTGAATTAAATGATGAAAATTTAAAAATTGTTAATGAGGTAAGCACTTTATTAGGCATTGATGAAACTATTTTAAGAAATAATCTAATATCTACTGAAAAAAATATAGCTAATCAAAAGATAGAAATACCTTTGACAGTTGATGAATCATTATCAATTTGTAGATCAATATCAAAGGATATATATAACAGAATTTTTGAATATATAACTAAAAAAATAAATGAATTTTTAAACAAAAATAATGAATTAGATAATTATATAGGTATACTGGATATATTTGGCTTTGAAATTTTCCTAAAAAATTCGTTGGAACAATTGTTAATCAATATTGCAAATGAAGAAATACATAATATATATTTATTTGTAGTTTATGAAAAGGAATCAAATTTATATAAAAATGAAGGGATCCTATCAGAATCTATAAAATATACTACCAATGATCATGTTATTGATTTATTACGAGGAAAAACATCAATTATGTCTATTTTGGAAGATGCTTGTTTAGCTCCTGGAAAGAAAGATGAAGTAAGAAAAAAATAAGAAATAAATATTTAAATTAATTAAATAAAGTAAAAAAAAAAAAAAAAAAAAAAAAAAAAAAAACATAATGCTTATGTTGTAACTCTTTTAGTCATTAGTTAGTGTATATACAAATAGATTTTCAAAATCACCACATTATTTGATATGTAAAAAGGATATAAATGGTAGTTTTATAATTAAACATACTGTTAGTGATGTTATATATAATGTAACTAATTTTATTTCAAAAAATAAAGATATTCTATCACCTAATATTCTGAGGATGTTAAAGGTTAAAAAAAAACAAATTACTAATTAGAAAAAGACAAATATATAAAATAATAAATGCAAATAATAAAAAATAAAATATTAAAACTATTAATGTTTTTATTTTATATATATTAAATGTTTTTATATTTATTTTTAGGGATCAAAAAACAATTTATTGCAAAATATGTATGATGAAGTGGAGATAACAGAATCATTAGGACGTAAAAATTTAGTTTCATTTAAGTATTTAGAAAATCTTAAAAAAATATGTTCTTACCTAAAAAATACCAATATATTTTTTATAAAATGTATTAAACCAAATGAAAATAAACAAAAACATAATTTTAATCAAAAGAAAGTTTTTCCTCAACTATTTTCATTATCTATCATTGAAACATTAAATATAAAATTTTTTTTTCAATATAAGTATACCTTTTCATCATTTTTAAGTTACTTTAAATACTTGGATATAGTTATTTTAAATGACAGTAATTTAGACGATAAAACAAAAGTTACAAAAATCTTGGAAAATAATGTAGATAATAACTCATATAAGGTTGTATTAAAAAAAAAAAAAAAAAAAAAAAAAAAAAAAATTATTAATTGCAATAATTATAATTAAAGTATAATAAGATTACATTTTTTCTTTAATTTACTTGTTTTAAAATCTCTAATTTTACATTATATTTTAAAAAGGAATATGATTATTTCATATATAAATATAATTTTTAAGTTAAATAATTACTGCAATGTTATTCAAATAATTAATTTTTATATTTGCTTTTTTAATTATAATATTAATGTTTTTATATTTAATTACATTTTCAGATAGGAAAAACCCTTGTTTTCTTAAAAAAGGATGCTATATATAAAATTAAAGAAAAAATTAATGATAATCTAAAAAGTTATAAAAATTTATGTAATATTATGAGTGCATTTATTACAAAAACTAAAAAAAAAAGAGTAGTAGAATCAAACATAAAAAATTTACAGTTGGCTCAAGCTTACTTCAGGAAACATAAATATGTGAAAGAACTTAAATAAATTTTTTTCATTTTTATAGTTCTACATATTTTAATTTTAAAAGGAGTAAAGATAAGTTGAAAAAAATTAGGGAAATTCTTTTTCTATTTTATATTCATCACAAACCTAGCTTTTTGTTTTTCATCCATTTGATCATGTATATTATACTTAAAAATTTTTTTTTATATATTTTTGAAAACTTTTTGTTAAGCTAAATACTTTTTTAAGCATCTTTTTTACTATAAATTGCGTCAGATATATTCTGGATTTTTAGAAAATAAGATAAATTTATTTATTTATTTATTTATTTATTTTTTTTTTTTTAATTTTTTTTAAACTTAATACATGTAACAATTTTTGTTTATTATGGTTCTAATTTTTTATAATTTTGTCTATTTTTATCTTTTTTTAATATTTATATATTTACTTATATGTTATTTCTTTCTTTTAATATTATAAATATTAATTTACATTTTCTATTAAAATATTTGAAAAATATGTAGATATTTATATAAAAACTAAGATAATCCTTTTTAGTTAGATAAAAGCAAGTTTTTTTATCAACTCAAAATATATTCCATTTTTTGTAAAAACAAATAAAAAAAGGAAATATATTTTTCACTTAATGATAATTTTAATATATAGCTAAAATACATTTTTTTGGTTAATATATCGTTGTTGCAAAAAAAATTTTTTTTAAATTTTTTCAGAAACACTCAGGTTAAATTTCTTTTTAAGTTTATCTTATATATGTTATTATACCAGACCTCAAAGAAAAAACATCTTTTTCACAATAATATATATATTTTTCTTTATTTTTTTTCTAAATTTTTTTTAATGCTTACTATAATATTTAAGAAATAAGGGGAAAAATGTATAAATATAAATTTACACGACTTTTTATTTTTTTCAAAGTTGTTTAAAAATAAATAATTCATATTAAATTTTAATCATTTTCTATTTATTTAATGAAGTTACTTATTTTTATGCTTTGTTTTAACTATTATTGTCTTATATATTATTAGTAAATTTTAAATTAAAATAATTTTATGTGTAATTTTATATTAAAATAGTTTCTTTTATATGCAATTTATATTTTTTTTTTTTTTTAGATATTCATATAAAAAAAATTTTTCTTAAAATATATTTATTCATATATAAATATGTACATCAACATATAAATTATATATTTTAATTTAAAATATTTTATTATTTTTTTTTTCTAATAAATTGCAGAAATTTATCTTTTTTATTTTTGTTTTATTTTTTTAGTGAAATGAAATTTATTAATATTGATTTTTGTTTTATTTTTTAGTGAAATGAAATTTATTAATATTGATTTTTGTTTTATTTTTGTAAATTATTACTTCAAGATAAAATGCGTAAATTGTAAATAATGCAAAAGAAAAAAAAAAAAAAGTATAAAATTACTAAGACTAATAAAATATGAAAAGTACGTTGATTCATATTAATAGTGATGGTTACATATGGAAATTTTATTAAATGGATAAAACTAGTTTATATCGTTTTACAAATTTTACTGAAAATTAATAATTTTAGATATTTATAAAGAATAAGAATATAATTTTTAATTTTATTGAGATATGGGGTATATATTTTTAATGATTTAAAAAAATAAAATCTTTAAGATATGAATTTTTTTTTTTTTTTTATTACGTTTTTTGTGGAAGATTAAGCATATGAATACTTTTAGATATATTTAAGTAAATTGGGGTATATATATACATTTATATATGTATATTTATATATATTTATATTCATATATGTAAATTCTGAAAGTAGTTCTATTTTAAAATTATGTTGCAATATTTTGTTGGTAAGTTATTTGGTGACTTACCACCTAATTTTAATTTTATAATAGGAAAGAAAGTAGAGTATAAAATTAAAATAGGATATTATGAAATTTATGAAGGATTTAATAAAAATAATGAGGAAGTTAGTATATTTATATATGATAAAAAAAGTAAAGAAAAAAATAGTATTAAAAGATATATTACGAATCATTTTAATTACTCTAAAAAATTAATCCACCCTAACATTTTAAAAGTTTTATATACGTATGAAAATGACAAAAGAATCTATATAGTAACAGAAAAGTGCATTCCACTGATATATGAAAAAATTAAAAGTGATCCATTATGGGGCATATATGAAATAATTAATGCTGTTCACTTTATTAATACGTATAATTATATTCATTGTTTAATAAACCCACTTTCTGTATTTGTTAATTCAAGAGGGAGATGGAAGTTATCCTTATTTGATTGTATTCATGAAAAAAATTCTAGTATAAATAATATTTTAAATGATATTAGAGATCATTTATTTTATGATTATGGTTTTAAATTAAAATTTCAAAATCATATTCATTCAACTAACATTGATGCATATGGATTAATCATTTTAATGATTTGGTCGTATAAAAATTATGTTTCATCAACATTGTGTGTTGACTGTTCTTTTTCTTTAGACGTTAAAAATGACAATACTAATAATAATTCGAACATTATAAATAATAAAATTTCCTTTAATAATTATAATAAAAACTCCTTCTTAGATGATATAAATAATCAAGATGCCTATGATTTAGGTGAAAATATTTTTAATATAGATGTTAAAAATAGCAAAAATTGTATACCTAAAAACCTTCATATTATATACGATATATTAAGTAATTATAGTAGTAAGGAAATTGACTTCAATAATATAATAAACAGTGATAACTTAAAAAACAACAATATTGTAAATATTATGCTATTTTTAACAGAGTTACATATGAAGTCAAAAATTGAGAAAAATTATTTTCTCGAAGAATTGTTTAATAATCTTGATAAAATATCTGTAGATATAAAATTTCAAATGATTTTGCCTGAGTTAGTTCAGAATATTGAAATATCAGAAAATGTTTGTAATTGTTTGAAAATTATTTTAAATATTTCGAAGGATTTATCACCATATGATTTTCAAAAATTCGTGTATACTACTTTTGTTAAATATTTTTCATTAACTGACAGATCTATCAGATATGTATTGTTAGAAAACTTTCATTTAATTGAAAAGCAATTGGATAGTAATAATGTAAATGAAATTTACGAAGCATATACTTATGGATTCCTAGATAACAATATGTCTATTAAAAATGAAAGTATAAAAAATTTCATATATATATTCCCTAAATTGAAAAAAAGTTTAAGACCATCATCTATTAATTTATTAATAGGAAATTTAAAAGAAAATGACTGCTGTATAAGAACAAATACAATTATATGTATTGCGAAAATATCAAAATATATATTAGAAGATAAGCAAAATATTCTCGAAAATGTATATCAAATTGGATTACAAGATTCTTTTATGCAAACAAGAACAGCAACATTGCAATCTATTAAATTTACATATGATCAATTTAGTACAAGAAAATTTGTTTCAAATATATTACCTCTTTTAATTAGTTCTCTAATAGATAACAATGTGAATGTACGAATGTATGCCTTTGATGCTTTAGATCATGTTTTAGTTCAACTAAGAAAAGATTTGCTAGAAAACTGTAAAAACGATAATAATAATTTAGCAGATTCAATTAAAACATATAAATTCATGGATAAAATTAAAGATATTATTAAAAACAAATGTGAAAGTAATACAGAAATAAATAAAAAGGATGATAATAGTTCCATATATAAAATTAGTGAACAAAAAAATAGTTTGAATTTGAACGATTTGGTTGATGTAAATTCAAATTATGATGTTAATAATAATATTGATAATGACAAAAATACTAATGAAATAAATGAAAGTATAATTGATAATAATATTTTATTGTCAAATAGAAATTCTAAAAATAATGTTTCTCAAACTTATTCTTCAGAAAAAAATGTTACAAACAAAATCGTAAAAAATGATTTTGTTACCCAAAAAAAATTAACAAATAATTATAACTACAAGAATAATATGATAGGAAAACAGAAAAGTTACTGCAATATTAATAATAAAGATTTAATAAATATCAACGTAACTGAATTAAATGAACAAAAATTACTTCCTAACTTTCAAAGGAATATTGAATTTAATACAATAGATAAAAAATTAAAAAAAAAAGTTGATATAGATATAGATGATTTTTTTAATGAATTTGATTTAAAAAAAGAAAATGATAATTCTAAAGTTAAATTAAGTTCACTTTTATGAAAATAATTTTTCTATTTTCATTTATTTATTAATTCTACTATTTGAAATGTTATATAAATTTATTTTGTATACTTATTATTATTTTGTTATTATAAAATTTTTTTTTTTCTATGTATGAACTTATTACATTAATAATTTTTTAAGGAAGTAATCTAAGTCAATGTTATTTTATAATATTCTTAAAAATGTTTCTAGCTTCTAATTAATTCTTTAATAAAAAAAAAAAAAAATTTATAATGAATTCACATTTGAGTATTTTCACCAAGTTTTATTATATATTCCATTACTTCTTTATCTATATATATTATATTTCTTTCCTTTTTAATAAAAGAATTTAAATATACATAAAATGAAGTACCTTTTGTTAAAGTTTTGTAGTTAATATATGAACATTTAAAAAGTTTCTTTATTATTTGCATTATGAAAATATTTAATGTCTTCATTTTTTTTTGTAGATGAAATATCATTAAAAATCTATTATATATATATATACATATATATATGTATATTCAGTATTACTAATATTATTCTTTATAAAAAATGAAAGGAAATATTTAATTAAAAAACCATGCAAATAAAAAACTCACGCTTTAGTTTGTTTATTTTTTATATATTTTTGAAATATACTCCTAACTATTAAAATTAAAATTTATATATCAACTACTTGGTATATTTTGAATTTTTCCTTTTTTATTATTATTTTACTAATCTTTTATTATAATTGCATAAAAAGTGAAGAAAATTTAAGCTGTCGTTGCTCTTTTTTTTTTTTTAAATAAATCTTGTTTTTTGTATTTTTATTTTATATTTTTACATTAATGAAGAATAGTGAAAACATTTTTAATTATGATAATCTTTTTTCTTTTTATTATCTTTTAGTAATACATGATATATGATATTATGATTTGTAAAACTTATTTTCTATGAAAATTTAAAAAAAAAAAAAGGAGAAAAAAAGAAAGAAAGAACATATTTATATAAACATTTTATAATTCTATCCAAATTTGCAAAAACATAAATAATATTTAGACAAGTATATGTAGATGAATAAATGAAACATTTGAAATAAATACTTAAATATTTTGAAACATATATTATGCAAATATATAAAAATATGTAGAATATATTAGTTTTTTTTTTTATTATTTCAGTAAAAATTAAATGTGAAAATACATTAAATTTAATATATTCCTACATTTTTTACTCATAAAAAATATTACATGTCCTTTATATAAGTATATATATTTATATATGTACATATTTTTTTTTCCTTCATACTGTTTTAAATTTTTTTTTTTTTTTTTTTTTTTTTTAATAGAATAAAATTTTAAGATAACTAACTGAGTTTATATTTGTTTCTTAAATAATTTTATCTTGTTAAATGAAAAAGAGTTTCATAAATATGCCTAAAGACATTTACAAATCATATATTCAATGAAAAACGCTTAAAAATAAAATAATTTATTTAAAATCTGCAACATCTTGAACACCTTCAATAACTGATGTTAAAACGTTGACACCTTCGATTTTTTTTAATAATGCTTGTTTACTGGATGCATAAGTCATTCTATCTCTTGAATTAGATGATCCTCTAGCATACATAAAGAAGTGAATTTTGTTAACTAAAAAGAAAAGAAAAAAAAATGAAAAATTATAAATTTACATAACAATGTAATAAATTTATATTATTAATGACATGGAATCACAGAAAAATTGAGGTTTTTAAATTATGATAATATATATATATATATATATAAATATATATATGTATAAAGGAAATAGCTAGAAATTCTATTTTTTTTTTCAAGAATTATTTGAAAGCTGTTTGATAAAAATATTGTACTAAACAATTGTATACTTACAACAATAAAATATATATATGCATAAAAGAGCAAAACAAAAAAAAAATTATAGGAAAATTAAATTAAAAAAAAAATAAAAAATTTTGATTTTGAAAAATGATGTATATTATATTTATATAAATTATAAAACACATATATATATATTTTTACCTGCATCAAAAACCACATATGCACATTGAATATTTTGATTCTTATCAATTGAATCAACTAATTCTGTTAATGTATCTGTTGTTCCTTTTGAGTGAATAATTATCTCACAATTTTCTATAACAAATATAATCCATCTGCAAGTTTTTCGAATTTTCATATTATTAAATTCTGTTACACAAGTATCATTAACACGAATACCGCTTATCATTTTCGATACAAATGTGAATTTTTAAAAAAGTAATTGTAAAAAAAAAAAAAATATATATTAAATAAAATAAAGTAAAAATAATAATTATCAAATTGTGACAACTATAAATTTTAGTAAAGTTCAATTTAAAAAAAAAAAATAAAAGTACATATATATATACATATATATATATGATATAAAAAAATAGCATAAAAAAAGGAGGAAAAGAAAAGATCAAATAAGAATAAAAAAAAAAAAAAAAAAAAAAAAAAAAAAATTATTGAATTTCATATAATGTGCGTGTAATTATCAGTTCCTTTGTTAGCTTTTATTTTTTTTAAAGATAAATGAGCAAACAAAAGAAATAAAAATTCATACAAAGAAAAAAAAAAAAAAAATAAGTAAATACACAATTATATATATATAAACATATATATCATATATTATATACCTATGAGTTTATATATATGTATTATATATTATTTATATATTTCATATATTTTTTTTTTTTATATATGTACAGTAGTGTGTACATTTCTGTGTAAAGGAACTCTTACGTATCACAAAATATATATTGCAATTTAAATAATTATATTTTTCTTATTTTTTTTTATTATTTTTATTTTTTATTTATTTATTTATTTTTTTTTTTTATTAGAGAATAAAAATAAACATAACGATGTATGAATAAAATTAAAAATATAAGAGTTAATAATAAGTATATTTAAGGTTAAATTTAAAAAGAAAAATTTCATTGAAATAACTTTTATGTTTGTGTGGTGCATGTGTGGATGAAAAAAATTTTAAGAACTTTCGAAACTATTAGAAAGATAATTGTAATTATGATGTATATGCATATTAAACTTTTTAAATATAGTTAATTACATTAAATTAATATCAAATAAGATCTACATAAAATAAATAATCATTAAATATATTACAAATAAAAGGTGTTTTAATTTTATCTTTTTAAGAGCATTTATATATTTGAATAAACATACTTTTTTTTTTGTGCACAAATTCACTATATGAAAGTAATTAAAATTTCTTAATTCTAGAAAACTGTGCAAAGAAAAAAAAAAAAAAAATTAGCAAATCATATATTTCCTTATGATAAAAAATTTTTAATAGTGAAACTCTTTTTTTATCTTTTTTTTTTTTTTTATTTTATAATTTTTAATAATATTCTCTTAAAATTTTCATTTTTAAAAACATATATCTCAAAAAAGGAAAAAAAAAAAAATGAATAAATCCATTGAGAACATTAATAAAATTATTTTTATTACTTTTTATTTATAATATGTTGAATCTTTTTCACTTATGAAAACTGAAAAGTCTAGTGAATTTTATAAAAATATAATATAGCCATAATAAGGAATAAATTAATTTTAAAAAGAAGCTAGTACACCATTAATTTTTTTTTTTTTTTTTTTTTTTTTAACCTATTATTTTATATTTTTCCTTTAGTATTAAACACTGTTTTTAATAGCAACAAAACTAAAGGAATAAAAATATATATTTTTAAACTTCTAAAAAGTAGTTATAATCCTTTAAACTATTTTTATTTATGAAAACATAGCATTCTATGAGAGAAAAAATGAAGACAGAGAAATTTAATTACTAAAGACATTTATACATAGAGAATAAGAAAATTATATGAACAAATAGAAAGAAAAATATTAGAATATGAAAATAAAAAATAAAGGTATTACATAGAAAATTTGTAATGAAAAATTGTAAGAAAAAATAGACTATTTTATTAAAAGTTTTTATTGAAAAAAAAGAAAAAAAATAAGAAAGAAAAGTAGTGATATACCGTAGCTTATTACAGATTAAAGGTAACACAAAAAAGTAACGAAACCACAAATCCTACAATAGTGTAAGAAAAAAGAAAAATGCATGCATGTATTAGTTCTTATTTAAATTTATACTTAGAATTATTTGAGCAAATTCTCTAAATATTTATCGTAACTTTAAATATTTTTATAAATTTCATTTTTAAACATATATACATGTAATTATACAATAAAGTTTTTAATATTTTACAATTCTAGATATATCTGATATATTTTATTTAATTTTTTTTTTATCATAATTTGAAATATATACAAGATATGCTTATTTCTTTAAGAAAAAATTTTAAGTAAATACTATGGTATTTATTAATTTTAGAAAATTATTTTAGCATCATAAGTTCTATATAAAATCCTTCGAAAAAAAAAATCTATATTTTAGTATTTTTCTTAAAAAAAAAATTTGTTTTAATATATTTAGGATTATGTTTGTTACATAATTTTGTTCCCAATTTTTAAATAACCTTGTCATAAATTTTACACAATATTCCTAAAATTTTTATAAATATATACATAATTGATCTTCTTGAAAATTAGTTTTTGTATTTTTAAATAGTAGAGTAATAAAATACTTTAGTAAAAGTTCTACTTATGAACTAAAAATATTAATTTATATTTTTTTCCATAGATTATTTATTACTGGTTTATTTTTATTAACTTTTTACTGATTTTTTTTAAATAGTAAACTGTAAGAATTACGCAAACGAATCATCTGTTTCTTTTTCGTAAAAAATTATAATTTAATTATGATAATAAAAAAGACTTTAACTTCATTTACCGTTATTTTTAAGGAAAACTTGTTTTTTAAGACATACTATACCATTGTTATGTGATTCTTTTTCTTCAATTATAAAAATAAATCAGAATGCTATTTCGTTTTTTTTTGTTATTTATATTATAAAATTTTACAAAAAATAATATTTTTTTTTATTTTGATTAATTATAACAAAATTAGATAAAAAGCTAATAAGAATGTTCTATATTAAAAAAATAACTTTTTTTTTTCTTTTGAAGAAAATTTATTAATATAAATATTTGAATTATAATTAAAAAAGATAAGAACTTTCGTAAATTTCTTCAATAAAAGTATGTATAAATGTTAAAGTATAAATTTTTATTTAAATTTATTTTTTAGCTTATTTTAAAGTTTTATTTATCAAAATATATAAAATAAATTATATAAAAATTAGAAAACCTTGAATATAGTAATAAATGAGGCTATGAATGGTTATTACTTTAACAATAAAATTAAAGATGAGTATTTAAAATAATAAAAAAAATATAATTAATCTTTTTTTTAAATTTTAACATCTCTTTTTAATTGTAAATTTCTTCAAATTATGAGTAATGCTTTAAAAATTAAAATAAACTGTTAAATATTTAATGATTCAAAATAAAAAAAATGTTAATTGTTTTGCCAGCAAAAAAGTATTCTCTAGACTTTTTTTATTTATAATAATATTTATAAATTTATATTAAATAAGAAAATCATCAAATTATATATATCATTTTGATTATGTAAAATTCTTTTTCTAAAATATTTATACTATTATGTTTTATGTTTAAATATATATAATAAATATGTGTTTATATGACCTTAGTTTTAATAAATAAATGGGTTGTATTAGTATTTCATTCAAAAATTTGTATGATATTTCTAAAAAAAAAAAATTATATTAATATAATTTTTACAATAAAATTTTTCATATATATATATATATATATATAAATATTTTTAAATATATTATTAAGAAATTGAAATAATTATAGTTCAAAAAAAAAAAACTACCCAAAAAAAAAGAGGGAGGGAAAAAATGTAAAAGCTAGTAAGCATAAAATTTAAATTACAATATAATAAATTACATAAAATAAAAAAAGCTTATTTATATAAATTATTTCTTTTTAATAACAAAAAAATAAAATAAAAAAAATTTATATTTATTTATGTATTTTATTTTATTTTTTTTTTTTTTTCAAATAAAAAAGAAAAGTTATTTGATTTACGCAAAAATTAATAATAGGTTTTGTAAAATGGTATGAAATAAAATTTTTTTTTTTTTTTTTAATTTTAAAATTTACACTTGTCATAAAATTAAATTACTTATAAACCTCTAAAAAAAATTGAATAAAAATTAAAATATCAATAATTTAAACTATAAATAGTATTAAAAAAAAAACTTCATGTATAGCTATACATATTTTATTTAATAATATATATTTTTTTTTTATAATCTAATAAAATTTTAATATTTGTTTATACATTCGAAGAGTTAATAAATGTAAATAATGTTTTAATATTTAAAAAAAAAAATATTTTGTAATTGTATATTTCAGTAGGATTAAATTACATATAATATAAAATTAATTTAAAATGCATATATTTGTATGTTAATATATACATAGCTACATTAATGTGTTTAATGTAAATATATTAATATACATATGAATGTAAATAATAATAATTAAATTTATGAACAATTAATAAATATGTACAAGTAAGAAAGAATTTATAAAATGGGTCCATATATTAATCAGAAAAATCAACCAATGTCCTTGTTGATAAGAAAATTAAAATATGATACATCCCCATCCATGGTTAGAGAAAAATTTAAAAAATTTGGAGCTATAAAAGATGTGTATTTGCCTATAGATTATTACACTAAAGAACCAAGAGGATTTGGATTTGTTGAATTTTATGATGCAAAGGATGCTGAACAAGCTTTAAAAGAAATGAACGGTTCAGAAATTGATGGAAATAGAATTGAAGTTTTTGTTGCTCAGAAAGGTAGATCAGATCCAAAGCTTATGAAATACAAGGAAAAAGGAGCATATGCATATAGAAAAAATCCAGATAATAAGATAAGAAGGAGATATATATCTAAGTCAAATTCACGATACAGATCTTATTCTAGAGATAAGATAAGAAGAAGAGATAGATCAAGAGAAAAATTTAGATATAGAAACAGTTATGATAAAAGAATGGGAAATTATAGAGATAAAAAAAATTATTATATGAAAAATTACAATAAATACCGTAACAGAGACTATGAGAGAAGTTTTAGTAGAAGCAGGAGATCAAGGGATTACAAAAATGATTATCCAAGATATAGAGACAGAAAAAGGTATGACAGATACTACAGGAGTAATAGCAGAAGAAGACTTAGTAGACAAGATAAATATGATTACAGAAATAAACATGATAAAAAGGAAGATAATTATAAATCAAAATGTAATAGTAATGATGAATTTAGTGATGAAACTAGAAATTCTAGTAAACATTCAAAGAATCATAATATTTCTAAATCTATATCTTTTAATACAGAAAAAGATGATGCTAGAAAAAAAAATGAAAATATAAATGAAAAAGATAATTCTAATGCATGGAAAGAAAGTGAAAACAGAAATACAACTAATAATAAAAGGGATTTTATGAATAGTAATGAAGAATTTAATTAAAAATAAAATATATATATATATATATATTTTTACCAAAAAAAATTTCAAACGTAATAGCATAAAAATATTAAAAATGAATAAATTTATATATATAATATGTTATTTAAATATAAATTTAAAAAAAAAAAAAAAAAAAAAAAAAAAAAAAAAAAAATTTTATTTATTCAAAACTAAGATTACTAAGATTATTTAAAAAAAGAAAAAAAATAAATAATAAATTATTATTTTTAATAGAACAGATCAAGAAATTTTATTTTGTGAAATCTTATATTTTCTAATAAAATAATTTAAATTTTCAAGTATGCAAATCATTTATGTGTTACAAGAAAAGTTTAAGCTTTTATTTATGTACGAGTGATTATTTTTTACTTTTTTTTTTTTTTTTATGGATATTTCAATAATTAAGTTTTTAATATATTATCAGTAAAATTTATTCTCCATATATATACATTTTTTTCCATTCTGTTCCTTAAAACGATTTATCTAGTAGAAGATTATTGGTTTTTAAATAAAAAAATTTCAAACAAATACATTTTTAAAAAATTAAAAAAAAAAAAAATCAAAAAAAAAAAAAAAAAAAAATATATATTATGTATTTTTATGTATATAAACACAAAAATTAAGATATAAAGAAAAGGATTAATGAAGAAAAAGTAAGTAATATTTAACATAGGCGAGTAATTATTTCAAGATGTTATTTTGTTTTTTTTTATAAAGCATTTTATTATTCCATATTTATTTGCTTTAGTTGTTTATGTCTATCAAAATAAAAAAAAAAAAAATAAATAAATAAAAAAAACCATATATCTATGACGCAATTTAAAAATATGAAAAATGGTATGAATATAAAAACACAATAAAATAAATTTATGATAATATAATGGAAATAATATTATAATATTTGTGCTTGAAATATATTCCAGAAGATTAATTTTTTAGTTTTCTATAATTTTTTTAATTTTTAGTTTCATAACTTCTTTCGAGTTTCATGCTGTTAAATTGCACTCTTAAAAAAAATTGAAGCTCTTATTGATGTATTTTATTTAATATTAATTTTATTTATCGTTTTTATATTTATAGAAGAAATTCACTTGAATATTTCTATTTTTTTTTTTTTTTTTTTTAATTATTATTTTATCAATTGAAAATTACTAATGTCTAAATACTATATATATAGATAAAACAATTTTATTAATAAATTTTCATTGCATATTTTTGTTGTCCCTTTTTATTCATTTGTTACATTATTATTAGACAAAATAAAATTAAAAATTTTAATATATAACCATTTATCTTTTTACATGAATTTAAACATACTACCTTTACATTAATATATATATATATATATATATATATATATATATATATATATATATATATATATTTTTTTTTGTTTTTTATATTTTTATGTTATTCTTTGTTATTGATTTTTAAGTGTTCATTTGTATTTATATCTGCACATATTTTTTTTAAATTAAAAAAGAATATTTTTAATAAAAAACATCTATTTTTCTTTTCATAAAAGCCTCTATGAAGAAAAATATATGTAGTTTTATTTTTTTATTTTTTAATGTATTAATTTTTTTTCATTATAGTTATTAATCTAAATTTAACATTTAAAACTTAAGACATAATTATTCACTTTTTATTTTTCCTAAAAATATTTTTTTAAAACATTTTAATATAAAAAATATATATGTTAAATATAATTATAATAAAAAAATATATATGTTAAATATAATTATAATAAAAAATATTTATATTAAATATAATTATAAATAATTTTAATAAATACCTAACTATAATTTCTTTAAAATTAATATTGAGGTAATTTTTATTATATTCTATAAATATATAATTAAACTTTGATTTTGAAATATATATTTAAAAATTACTATACACTTATTATTAGTTTAGTAGATTTTAATTCACCAAGGATCTAATGAAATTACTAAGAAATTATAAACAGAAGTTTTCATTTTTACTTTTAAACTTTTATTAAAACATTAGTTTTCTAATAAAAAGAAAAAAATTCTTTGATTAATATATTAATATATTATTTGATGAAGATAGAAAATTATATTGAAACAAAAATACTACGCAAAAAAATTTTAATATTATTCCTATAAAACCATGAAATTTACTCTTATTTTCTAAAAATAAATATAAAAATTAATTATATCATAAGAGTAATTATTTGTGATTAATGGTTTTTAAAATTATTTATATTTTAAAATAAATAAAATATAAAAAAGAAAAATTTTTTTATACCTTTAAGATTCTAAAATTAAACACTTTATATGTACTCAAGGGTTCCACTATAAAAAAAAAATGAATAAACATAAGGTAATATATTAAAAATAACTATTTAAAAATTTTCGTTATTTTATTTTTATCTATGTAATTTTAATAATTTTTCTTATTTTATTTTTTTTTTTTTTTTCATAATAATTATGTATAATTTATTAGTATAACCTTTCAGTCTTTTTTAAATAATCCATGTTAATAAGATGGGTAATGCAATTGTTAATTTTGCTTGAATCTATAGTTGAATGATTAAAATATTTTTTTGTTTCATTTATTAAAAAATCTATATTAATATTTCCATTTTTTTTAACATATTTGACTATAAAAGCTTCAATTAAATATTGTTCGTAAGTTGGATGTTGTTCTAAATTATGAATATATTTACTTCTTTTTTTTTCTATTTCAATTTTTGCTGAATCGATATATCCGTCATCTATAAATATTATTTCATTTTTTGAGAAAAAATTAAAATTTACATAATAAAGATCAATTGTATTATTATTTTTTGTTGATACTTCATTAAGTAGTATTTTATATTTAGTAACCAAAACATTTAAAATTTGTTTAACATTTTCTCTTTTTATATTTGTACAATAATGTATATAATTAATATCCAATTTGTTACACATTACAGTTTGGTTATTAATTTTCTTCTTTTCTGAAATGGAATTTGTTTCATGATTATTCAAATGATTAAAATTTTCACTTTTCACTTCTTCATTAAAAAGAAGGAGAATAATTAAAATGCACATGTTGCAATTTATTATATATTTTTTTTCACTTATTTCAAATATAAGATTTCCATAAGATAAATGAAAAATCCATTCTATTTTTATATTACGATGAGTATTTAAAAGTTCCTCTGTAGCTAAATTAATATAGTTTTTTATATCCTCATTTAATAAAATATCTCCATAATCATCAAATAGCCAATTTATATTACGAAGAAATAGTATATTAATATTTTTTCTATCATTATTAGATTTTATTTTATTAAAATAATTGTTGTATTTTGTAAAATCATGCATCATATTTTTCATTCTGTATACATAATTATCTCCCTCAATATTATTAAAGATTTTAATAATATATTTTTCAGTTCTCTTATTTTTCATACCATTGAATAAACGTTTTGTTAAAAATTTTCTACAATAATATTCTACTTCATTTTTGTCTTCTATAAAATGAAAAATTTTGAAAATATCTTTTAGAAAACTTTTGCAAAAATCTTTTTCAATTTTATTTTTACACTGATAAATTGGAGTAAAAAAGTCATAAAAACTACATTTTTCATTTTTAAATTTATTTTTTCTTTTTAAAGTTAAGTAAAAATTTACAAAACAATTAATATCATTATAATGAGATAATATTTTTTTGTTATTATTTTGTAATAATTTTAATGTGCATAAAATCAAACTACATTTTAGAAATGTTATTGAATAGTTTTTATTTTCGAATATTTCATAATAATAAAATTCATCAAAATTTTTTTTTTTTTTTAAATTATTATTAATATTTTTATTATCATGAATCTTTTCTTTATCAATTTTAATTTCATTCATACTATTATTTTCATATATATCTTTGTATATGTTAAAATATTTTTCATTATTTTCCTTTACGAATAAACTATTAATTTTTTCTGATTGTTTACTTTTTGAAATAAACCTACTGTTCTGTTCTCTCTTAATTAAATTGTCTGGATTTTTGTCTTCTTCTTTGTTTTCTTTTATATTGTTTGTAATCTTAGTAAGATTATAGTATTTTTTTTGTATATTTTGTTTATAAAATTTCAAAAAAATTTTTTTGTTGTCTACATTGTAGTCATAACATGTTAAAAAATCTATTTCTTTTAACAACAAATCTAAAAATCTTGAAAAATAAAATGTTATATTATTATCTGAATTCACTATTTTAAAAATTGCTTTTTTATATGATGAAAAAAAATGTTCATCTTTATTAAAACATTTGTTTATTATAAATTCGTATTTATAATAAATGTAAATTAAATTAAATATATAATGTAAAAAATAATAATTTTCCTGATTATTTAATAAAATAAACAACAAATAGTAATCTACTAATTCAAATAATGTATCCCCATATGCTATATTTATGCATGAATCTTCAGAATTTTTTTTTTTTTTATTATAGTTTCTATATTTGAAGAAACAGCTTTCATAATATTTTTTACATTCAGCTTTTGAATTAAAATTTTTACAAGTTTCGTCAAGCGTTTTGTTATTTGATACTTCATTACCATTTTTTTTTTCATTTTTTTGAAAATCTGAAGTTTTTTCATTTATTTTATTTATAAAATTTTTGTTTATTCTTTTATTGATTATATACATGGGTTTTTCTTCCGTGCATATATTTTGATAATTTTTTTTTATATCAAACTTATCATTGTTTTCTAGATTATTTTTAGAACTTATTATACTAATATTTTCTTTTTCATATTTAATATTATCATTTAGGTTATTATTCATCATGTGATTTTTATTCTTTGAAAGATATATATCTTGATTACTTAAAAAGATGGAAAATATATTATGTAATTTGTTTTGAATAATTAATTTATCTGAAAAATTACCATCTATTAAATCTATAAAATTGTTCCATACATTTTTAGGAAAAAAAACATAATAATTTTTTAATTTTTCATAAAATTCATTTATTATAGTATCTTCAAATAAAGACAGAATATATTTTTTGCAGTTTTTTAGAACACTGTTAATAATGGAATATAATTTTTTTAATTCATCACATTTCACCATTTTGAAGTATTCATATATCTCTTTTTTATATTTATTTAAAAACATAATAGAATGTTTTTTTGTAAAACTATTACTTATAATATATTTCTTAAATATATGAAAATTATCAAAAATATGAAGCTCTTTATTAATATATATTTTTTCAAGCATTATAGTTGTAATAAAATTAAGAAAATATGATAAGTTTTTATATTCAATAATTTTATGCATAATGTTGATAACATATATAAAATAGAATATTGATAATTCGATTTCAAAGTAATTATAATAATAATTAATACATAATATTTTATCTAAATAAAAAATTATTTGAAAAAAATTGCATATTTCTTTTTTATGACTACTAAAAGAAGTATAATAATAAAGTAGACATTTCTTGATAACTTTTTTTATAAAAACGTTATTTAAAATTAGCTCATTGAATAAAAAAATTCCTAAAGAATCAAAGGGCAATAATACTTTTTTCTGATTTTTCTTCCATGAAACTTGTTCTTTTTGTTTTTGCTTTTTTGAGTTTTTTTTCATTAGATTATAATTTAAAATTTTTACTCTATATGTATAGTTTTTTTTTAGAAAATATTTTCTTTTATACATTCTATTATTTATAAAATTATCATACATATAAGTGAAAATTTCATTTATATTTTTTAAATTTCCAATCCATTTTTCCCAAAAACATATCACTGTATTAAATAATTTTTTATAATTTAAAAGAGCATTATATTCATATTTATAATTATAATTTAATTTACATTTTATAGTTCTATAAATATTCATTAATAATTTATTCGTTATAATAATGCACATTTTTTTCTCATTACATGTATAATAATTAATGGCATTTTCTTTTGTTTTTAGGCACTTTTTTTTTATAATATTGTAAATATTTTCGTTATATTTATTGGAATTTAAAAGAGCATGCGTAATACTAAAATAGTTCCATATTGTTGCATTTTTCAAAAAAGGTAAACGAAAAACATCTGAATTTTTTAATAACATTAAAATACTATAAAACAGTTTATTTACTTCTTCTAGTGGTAATTTATATATACTAAATGAATTTCTAAATTTCTTGTTTTCTTTTGTATAATTGTAAAAATTTTTCATTGAATCATTTTTTTCATGTAGTTCGTTTTTGTTTAAAATATTTTTAACAATATTATCATTGCTATCATTGTAATTCTTACTCTTCTCATAATCGTATTTTTTGTTACTTGTGTTATAGTTTTGTTTTTCTAATACATTTTCATTAAAAACTTTTGAGTAGTGCTTTATTTTTTTTTTCAGTGTAATTATTTTTTTATTCAAAAAGAGATACATATATTCGTTTTTACTTAACAAATCTAAAAATTTATTTATAATTTTATTCATATCATTGCAAAATGTATGCATTTTTTTTTTAACCATATAATAAAGAAGAAGGAAATTATTAAAAGTTCTATATTCAAATTTATTTTGCTTTCTAAAAGTAATACTATAATTACTTATATATTTTCCTATTAAAATGCATATAGATACAATAGCAATTCTAATTATATTAGGAAATTTAGTTAATTTATAGTTAATTAAAAAATAAATTAGATCTTTTATAATTGCATTATCATGATTAACTTTGTTTATAAAAATATTGTTATTCTCAATAGATCTTTTATTTTTCAAGTATATTGAAAATATATTATAATTTTCTATTTCTTTTTCTTTCTTATTTATTTCTGAATTGAATAATAAATTATTTTCAACACTTAAACCACACTTAAATATTTCATATAGATTAATTCTTTTATAAATATTATTAGTTTTATTGAAATATTTAGCAAATTCTTGTGGTAAAATATCTGAATCATCAGAACTACATTGTTCTTCATTTATTTCTTTATTTTTTTTTCTACTAAATATATTACAATAGTGTTTTTTTTTACGAATATTATAACATTGAGAGTATAAGTTTTCATAATTAAGTTTCTTATATTTTTCAATAATTTTATAATCATCTTTTAAAATATAAAAAACATTCATTTTTTTGTCTTCATTTACTTCTTCAACATATTGTAAATACATTTTTTTTTGACATTTTTCATCACTATAATTTATTTCAGGTAAATTATTTAAGCACAAAAATTGTAAATGAATAAAATTATTTAAGTTGTAACATTTTTCATCAAATAAATATTCCCTTTCTTTTATAAATATATGATAAGAATATTTATAAAATAAATTTTTAATTTTATTATACATAATATTTTTAAAATTATTTAAACATTCATTGTCTTCTATATTGAAAGTGAAGGTATCTTTAAGTTTTATGCAGTTACTAAATAATATATTTTTAAAATTTATTAAATTTTTGGAGTATAAATAAGACTTAAAGAAAATAGTATTTTTATTATATACTTTATCATTAAAATAATTATTTTCATTTTTTTCAAAAAATAACTTCAGATTATTAATGACCATAAATTTATCATATGAATATTTTTTATAATTTTTCTTATTTAGTTCTTTTATATTTTTTATATATGCAAAATTATTATCACTCTTATTATATGAAAAATAAAGTTCTAAATCTCTTTTTTCAATTTTGCTAGAAGAAAAATTCAATTTATTAAATTCCTGTTTGTTAATTTCTGGAATAAAATTTTCATTTTCTACATTTAATTCGTAAAATTTTAATATTTTATTTTTTATATGTATTATATATTCATAAATAATATTATATACTTCTATATAAAGCTTATCAGAATAATCATTATTAACTAGTTTGAAAACACATTTCTTTAAATATTTTAAATCAACATTATTATAATTATAATTGAATATTTTTAATAAAGCTTCTTTTATAACTTTAATGTGTTCATATCCTTCTTCGAAGCTAACTATTTTTTCCATTATTCTCATAAAATTAGAAAATTAAAATATATATATATATATATTATTACTCATAAATAATAAAAAAAAATGAGAATATATTTACAATTTTTTTTGTTCAGGTTATTTAAAACATAATTAAAATATTCAACATTAAGTTAAAATAAAGTAGCTAAATTCATATAATAAAATTTAGAATAATTTGAAAATACATATATTTTTATGAAGTAATATTCCTTGTTTCATTAAAAATCACACATTATAAAATCCATATGTAAAAAATTATATTTGCTATGTAAACTAATGCAAGTATATGTAATCACAAAATAGATTTATTATTAATATAGACACATTTTTAAAAAAAAAAAATGTGAAATCTTAAATTTTATTAAAGAATCAGTATGTACAATGATTTAAAATGTTATTTAAAAAAAAAAAAAAAAAATTTTATTTGAATTTTTAAAATATATAAATTAGTTAATTTTTATACTTATAAAAACTTTATAATAAATAGGATTTAAGGATTAAGGAACTTTTTTTTTTTTTTTTTTTTTTTTTTTTTTATAGGTAATAATATATTTTAGCTTCTACAACGTTGCTAAATATTTAAATGATAAGAATAATAAAGGAAGCATGCATATTTGTTCTTGAAAAAAAAAA